AGGTCAATTTTTGCAAAACAAAATGATTGTTTGAAATTTTTGATCATTCCGTCTATGATTCGACTCGTTTTGAATCTACTTAAAGTTCTCGAAAGCACTAACCTAATTAGTTTATATTTTTTGATTACCCACTTTTTGTGCATGTTCTACATTTAAGATCTTTGCTTAAACCTAAAAATAAATAATAGTAGCAGAAAAAAAGTGAATGGTTAGCATAATACAATTTTAATAATCAGCGCTTCTTGTTCAGATGAATAACGAGCCATAGTTACTGCTCCAATTAGTGTAATGGGGATTTTTTTAATACTTTTTTAGAGGACTTTTATGCAATACTGTGAAAATCTGCACGATTTTTTTCCTGAAGAAGCTGCATGATGTTTTATGTTTTTTCTCATTGATGACATTGCCTATAAACTCGATGTCAGTGACTCATCTATCTTGTGTTCCTTCTCGTTTCTCCCCCTACCACGCTCTCATCGTCGGGCATCGCGCTTTATCAGTGTTTTCGTCCCGGATATGACTGATAACGGGGGTTTTCCTGATATATAGAATCAATAATTAGGTTTTGTGTCGTTAACGTCACAAGTATCTTTATAAAAGGTAGAATTTTGATAGCTGGGTTTACCGTCACTTGAGGTAACCTTCGCTTTTCGGGGTTACCCAGCTGTCCGGTTTAAACTCTTATACTCTTATATTCTTGAGTATAGGTTGAAATTAGAAGTCGTGGTTAACGAGGTATAGCTGTTGGGTAACTCTGAAAACTCTTTTCATCCGTTGTAACAGTGTACTCCGCATAAAAGTTACACTTACCCTAATGTATTGAATAGGGTCATGGTTCCTTTTCCCTTAGGTAGTAAGTAAACCCATTTTTACCTGGGGAACTGACAAGGTTAGAGCTAAAGTAGAGGTTATACACTTACCCTAATGTATGGGGAGGGGTCAGGTAAGCGTAGGTGGTAGGGAATTGACTGGGTTGGAGCTGAGGTGGGCAACTGACTGGGTTGGAGCTGAGGTAGAGGTTACACTTACCCTAATGTATCTCGGTGATACAGTTATCTTTTCTGGGTAGGTAAGGTAACCCAGGTACTGAGTAGTTGATGATTGGGTTAGAGTTGGGGTAGGGATTGCACTTACCCCAATGCATTTCAGAGCAAGAAGTTGCCTGAATATATCTTAATACTAGTAAACTAGTTATCAGTTACCTTTTCTCTTGTTTTTATTTTTCCAAAAAAGAAGTTTTATTACCCCTCTTCTATCCCTCCACCGCCCACCTACCACCTAATGCTCTCGCCCTTTATTATCATTCATTTATAGATTTAGAACTTGTCTGCATTACAGACCCTATCGTACGTATGACGTCAAACGCTCCCGATGGCTAGCTATACAAGCGGAAGTGCACCGACAATCGAACACCCCCCCCCCCCCCCCCGCTTTGGTCCTCTTGAGTTACAAGCACTTGAAATGAATGCATAGGATATAGGGCAATTATGGGGAGGTTGAACCCTTGTTTGACCTTTGCTTAAGAAATTTCATCTTTTAGGGAAAAAGAAATCAAGAGGTTAGGTAATAAGGTATGGAGCTATTATCCCGGACAACCCCCTCATTCCTTCGCTTTCCTCTAATTAGCCCGGTTGTCCACAAGAGTGTTTTCCACATTCCTGAGACTTCCCCCGGCTACTTCACTCTTGTGTTATTGCTTAGTGTATTTATCGTACAGCCTCTTTGTGCACAGTGTCTTCTGTCTTAGGCTGTTTGTTTGTTTGTTATGTGCTTGTTCGAGACAACGTGTTCACTCTCATCGTTCTCAAATAAGTGCTATGAGTTTGCTGAAATTAGACATGGCTCATTGAGGTCTTTTTATTTATCGGAATAATTCAAAAAATGCCGGATTTCTTGGTCCCAAATTATTTTTCTACCTCAGTAGAAGATAATCAACAAGTTTTCTTGATTGATTTTTGTGGCCGGATTCAGCTTAATTTTTCGGACTCAGAGTAAATAAATGCTGGAAAGTAGCTTCTTGATTTGTTGCAAAATAACTGACTGGATACCATTTTTTTTTTGCTACCACCTATCTTTTCAATCTCCTTTTCTGCCCATTGTTTGATCTTTTTATCGCTACATCCTTGTTTCCTCTTCTCTTTTCTCATTTTTATTACCATATTTCGATTTTTCATTCGTTCTTGGAATCTTATACGCTCATACTGAAACCAATAAGCCATGGAAAATGAAAACTATGTGAATCCTGCGCAAGATATTCTACGTTGGGAAAGAATATATATTTAGTATGTTTACTTAATGTCCATCTTTCATCGTTTGGCTCTGACCAGGTAAATAGTCCCTTATTACTGAAAAAAAGAGGTGTTTAGTTTCATGTATTGGGTAGTTCATAACTTTTATTCACTGAAAAACTAATTTACATGAAGTTGGAAAGATTTTGAATTTATAGGGTTAATTAGGCGCGCATCCGAAACCCAAGACGGGGCGCGGGCTTTGCTCCATGTCCTGTTCATACTTCTAAAATGTGCTTATTTTTTATCAACCAAGAACAGGATGCGGGAAAGAGAGCGGGGGAGGATGTTAGTAAGGGAATTGTGGGGAGGCTGCAAAAAACATGAACTTTCAGTGTGGAAAGGACGAAAATATTGAAAGCCATTCGGAAAGCTATTGATTGATTCATATTTAGTGATTTTGTGAATTTTTTGGGGGTTTTTACATGGAATTATGGAACTATTAAACCACAACTATGTACAGTTATAAGAATGTTTTCATAATTTTTTCTCCTTTCTCCTTTTCCATAAAAAAAGAAGAAACTCCATGACGTCGTGCAAGCAACCCGCTTCCGACGTTCTCTTCCGGACTGGCAGCGGCGGCGGTCGTGGCTGTCAGTTCATCAGTGTCCGCCACTCGCACCCGTCTATAAACGGGTTCCCCCTCTCATCTTCCCGAGGCATCCTTCTCAGGTGCGGTTCTCTAAGAGTTCGTTTTCCGTTCTCTCTCTCTGCCAACGGGAAATGATGCTGATATTGATCGCCATCGGGGGGTCTAATCTACTCGCTCACACCCCGAATGTCATAAATTCTATTATCAGTGTTAAGATTGATAACCATATAAGGTTCAGAGGAGAACTTTGGCATGGTTCATCCATCTCAACTCGAGCTGGCAAACTGCCAAAGCATTTTTCCTTTACCAACTCCTCATGCTGCACTACAAACCCTACAACCCCTGCTAGTCTCAAACTTCCCCCCCCCCTCCCCTCCTCCCCCGCTTCTTCGACTTCCAATAGCATAAGTTAATGTTTAGATTTGTCGGCTCGGTTTATCTATCGGTGTTGAGATGGCAACCACCAATTTATTGGCGCTAAAAAAGGCCATGAAGAATATGACACATTAGGTGACTAATACGGTGCCTAAGAGAGCTTTTGTCTTCGTGCCAGGAGGCGGGGAAGAGGGGGGGGGGGCTTATGGACCGAACTTCTTTTGGTGCATTTTCTAGATCAAAATTTCTACATCAAGATCACGATGCCCATTTTTGTGCACAATTGTTTGTTTCAAAATAATTCGCTGTAACTCAGTTTCCCTTTGAGAACGTCTTAACGGACCTACTCTTTAGAGTTGCTGGAACTTTTCACTTACAGGTTTCAATTTTTTAAAACGAGAGATAGTGTCATATCTGTTTTTATTTGTTTCGCTTTGCCGAATGGTTTTTTCTATCATTTTTTTCAACTTGAAGCCTTAAAAACTGTTTTTCATATCTCGCAAACTTTACAATATCTCCTACATCCGAGTTTCTCATATTTTTTTTCTAGAAAAACTGAAAAAGGAGTCTAGACGCTTACACGATCTCGAATCTTTGTCGTATCATAATCTCAATGTCTTGCCTTTCTTAGCTGGTCAGATTCTTTCTCTCAATTCCCTAAACAAACTGTCCTTGTACATGTAGAATTTCAATGTTCGCTTCTAGGCAAAAAGCTTAAAATCAATTTTATTTGAATGCATTTCGCTTGAACTTATTCACAGTTGCTTTTATAGATTTGTGTTAGCCATCTGTCACACGTGTCCATCATTTATTTCCGTCCGAATTGTCAAAATCATGGCTATTTGGGGTCGTTTTTGTTCGAATTTTGGGGTAATTCAAGGGTCTTAGCGCTTTTGTTACTAGTACTATCTAACTCTGAACAATACTCTCCTTCGAAAATATTTTTAGAAAATAGCACTTCTTTTATCGAAGCCGGAAGAAGGAACTTTTTCATTTTCTTTTAAAAGGGCTGAAAAAGTTAAAATTTGAATTGAAGCTTAATATCCTCATACTATCCTCAAAAATGTTGAGAAAGTTACTTCTTTTATCAAGACCGGAAGAAAGAGTTTTTTTCAATTTTTTCGAAAAAAGGCTAAGCCTGGACCAAAGTTTGATTCTTCAAAACATCTTAAACGGTATGGGGAAAAACACTTCCTCTTTCAAAAGGAAGAAGTTTCACAATTTTTTTCGAGAGAGTTGGGGAAGGGGGGGGGAGAAGGAACCTTGATTATTTCAGGACAGATTCTTACCCACCGTTATGGAGGCAAATTACATCAGATAGTGGGAGCTCAGATATGAAAAGAAGGCTAAAATTTTCTTTGTGTTCAACTACTCCTCTTTACTTCTTTCCTGCCTCCTCCTCCCCCCCCCCCCCATCTTTCCCCCGATTTTACTCTCTTCTAGCTGATTCCCTAAAAATTCTTACCTTTCCTTAGAGATCAAGAATTCTGAAACGTGTACAGTCATATTCGCTTCTGTTATATCCTTATATCCTGTATTGACTTGTCTTTCCATTCCCAAACACATCAAATCTTGTCACAAACAAGTCTACATAATCAGTCATTATCATTCGATCATCTATCATCGTTTTTCTTCACTTCATTTCGTCTATCCGTTCGGTATGTCTTGTGCTGTCGCATCGATTCTCTTCCTGTTGATATTCGCTCTATCCTTTTCTCAATTTTCTAGTAAAAGTTGGATTTTTCAGAATTTGTCGTTCGAGCTCCGACAACGAAAAACGACTACAGCAACGACGTCTATAATGATGGATACGATGCCTTCTGTTGGCCTACCTAGGCCAGAACCCGACTTCAGCAGTAGAACGCCAGTGGATTCGAATATCACCCTCTGGCAGTTTCTGTTAGAATTATTAGTGCAAGGCGAACATCCACAACTGATTCAGTGGACCAATCGAGAAGGAGAATTTAAGGTAAATTTGTATCTTTTTCGCGGATCCCTCAAGTGGTCGACCACAAGCGAATGACTGCTCATCCCCCATTTTTTTTTTGCTAAATTTTCATATTTCAGCTACTGGATGCTGAGGCCGTGGCACGGCTTTGGGGACAACGAAAAGCAAAGCCTCATATGAATTATGACAAGCTATCCAGAGCTTTGCGATACTACTATGATAAAAATATTATCAAAAAGGTTCGTGGAGTTTTCTCAGATTTTTTCGATTTTCAGCTTTTATGCTATAAATAAGTTAGCAGTAAGCTTGAAAAAAGAACTTATTTTGAATTAGTTCAACTTTCGCAGTCCAAATATTAGCTTAAGAAATTTGTTAGAAAAGTGATGTAGAAGAATTTCAGAACTAATTTTTAAAATGTTTACAATTCAATTAGATCAAGGAATTGGCAGAAGTTTTGCATTATGTAGATCACAATCTAAAAATGGTATCTAAAAGAATACAGAAGCTTCGCTTTATGTCTGGTAGTTCACACAATGAAAAATGATCGCTAAACAATCTGATTTTGTTATTGACTTCTTTAAAAGGTGAACGCTGTTCTCGTTTGAAATAATAGGCAAGAATCGCAAGAAAATGGATAATTCGGAATACTACAAATTCTTCAATTATAAAAATGTTTTAGTTAGTGCTGCAAAACGCCAACTTTTTACCAGAATTTCGATAGAGCTTCGTGTTTTCATACCATTCTTTTCTAGCACACAGTATCTGAACTTTCTCTTCTTACAGGTGATTGGCCAAAAGTTTGTCTACCGTTTCGTTGAAGCAAACATTAGCGAACCGGTTGCTTACAATATGAACCTGTGCCGAGCGATGAACAATCCAGCACCAGCTCCAGCACCTGTAAAAGTTGACCCACTGCCAGCAGCTCCTGCTCCAGCGACAACCGTACACCCAATCATCAAGGAAGAACCTTGCAGCAAGCAGGAAATTGGTGAGTGTAACTCATTTAGTCTATAAATCGCATAGATTTAACCATGGCTGTCACGAAGTGGCGATCGTTATCAAGTCTATTCGTAGTGTGAAAAACGCAAAGCACAAAAGCGACGTGCGCATTGCTAGTTACGGTGGAGCAGGTGATGATAGCAATGTTGATTTATTAGCGGTTTGTGGAGAAAAGACATCTAATGCGCTTAGGAAGGAAGACCTACAGCTAATTTTTGCGGAAATGAAGGCAAGGGCGAAGGAGAGGGAAAATCGTGCCAAAAATTTCGTTTTTGTCTTTTTAGCATTAGTTTTTATCGCAGCACTTTAAGTAGCATCTTGTTTTACCGAAAAAAGCGTGACTTCCTTTGACTCCATTAAACCTTACGGTTGAACAACATTATAACTAAAACCGGTAACTGATATTTTCATCCAAAACATTCAAAGTGTGACCATACCACCATGCTTTGTGTCCTTGTATGCTATTTTTCTGCAAAAGCATTGCAGCCTTTGACGTCACAGCCCTTGATTCTAAAGAAAAAAGCATTGAACGAGACGTTCCGTTTGCCTTAAACATCATGTCTTTCCAAAGGAAGAGCGATGATTTATGTTTATGGTTTTCAGAAACGTCTACGATGCCTGTATTGACCAACTATGCTCCTCCACAACCAGAACTGACATCATTAAATGTAAGCGGAAATACGGCGACAAGTTCATCTACACCATCACCAACCGACAGGTAATATATACAAATTTATAGACAGAATAATCTTTGTTTTGGATTTCTGAAAGCAAAAAAATGCGATGTGAACTGCGGGGGCGGAAATTAATTCGTATATCGAGTGCTTTTACAATTTCAGAAAAATTTCCTGAAACTTAGTTCAGCAAGAAATGTCGTCATAACCATTATTCAAAAGTATACGAACTATTTTGTTGGTATTTAAGGGTTTTAACTTCTTCTGACTTCTGATATTTGAATCCTCTTACTTGGAAAGAAGACTTAGTCGAAAGTAATGTAAATTTTTTGTTTATTGCCATTTTTCCCCTTCATAGTCTTTTCGAAACTTCGTAGATGGAAAGTTGGAAGTTTTTGGATGGCTAGTCTATTTCTTTCCACATTTTTTTTGCAATAAGTTCGTAGCTTTTCGCTACCTTTTCCCCATTTTCTGCAAGGTTTAGAAAGAATTCGGAAAAGCATGACATACTAAAATTTACAACGAGCAATTTCCTGCATTATAATTTCTTTATCAGTTTGTACTGTCATATCTTTCCATTATTGTTTGTAGAAAAACCAATTGATAAAATCTTATCACGCTTCCGCATTCAGTTCACAGCATTCTAATAGCAATGAGCAATATGGCAAAGTCTTTTGATGTGCGTCTCTGTTTCGGTAATGGTTTTAGTGAAATGAAAGCACTAAAGTTCAATCTACGGACAATTCCGACAATGTCTGACGCGAAAAAGTCATATCAGTTCCAAAAATTTTGCGCTCACTATTCTTATCAGCGAATTTTCGCGGAACTATTGCACCTTGAACCGGACGTCCTAGTACCTTCTGCAACAAAAAGGTTTTTGAAGAATTTTCTGGAAAAGTTGGAGATATGAGCTGTGCTATAGCTTTTTGAGGCCTCGATATTGTCCAAACAATGACTCAGCAAAGATGCTGTGACCGTGTTTTGGTGATAAAGCAATAGACAAGCATTACAAGCAATTTAGTTCCATTTATGGGGTCTTAGTTGGTGGTACAGCTAGATACCAATTACGTAATAAGGTCAAATGACCGTTTCAAATTATGGCGGAACTGGAATTGACTCCATATAGCCGTGTTATCCGGGTAATGACTCATCTTTATTCTTGGGGATTTTTAAAGATCATTTCAAAGAACTGAAAATGAATTTTTCAGCTCCTGTTCGCCTCATAGTGTTGGCTCATCATCGGGTGTTTCATCGTTACCGACCCTGAGTGTAACCCCACCAGGCCCATCATCACGGCCAGCATCTGTACATTCAGATTCTTCGAGAAAACGACGTGCTTCACCAGCAGCTGAGGTAAATTTGCCTCTTACAATTCCCCTAACCCTGCAAACAAAAATCGTTTTAGGTCCCGCGACGTCCACGACCGGATCCGTTAAATCTCTCAGCTACAACACAATTACTTTCACCAAGCCTCCCTCATGGTGCAATCTCGCCCTACCATATGCAGCTGATGCAACAAATGTCACCGCTGTTGCTACAACATCGGCTACAATTGTATGCTCTGGCGTCGACAACACCGATATTTGGGCCAAATTCACCTGTGCTTGCTGCGATGGCAACGTCACCTTTCCGGTAAGTGGAAAAATCCACAGTCTGACTTTTTGTGGGTGTCCAAAAATGGGCGTGGCTAACTGCGACTCCGCCCTAGCCACGCCCATTTTTGGCTTTTCTCCTTCAAAGGGCAGGCGGCTAAGTATGTCCGTTTGAACGCCCTGGTTCATGTCAAAAACATTATCTGCTTAGGTTTTATCCCTGGATGATGGAAAAAGAAGTTCATGACTTCAGGTCACCGCTGACGACACCAACCGCCGCAGGACCTCACGTCTTCCAGTTCCCACCGGTGTCCACTTCAACACCAGGAGGACCAAATTCTCTCATGCATCCCTTGGCTACGATGATGAGTCCGGCGAATGTGTTATCATCCTTGAACAACAGCCTCTTCAAATTCCCTTGCGATAGCCTGAAAACGCCGACGCTGTTGAAAACACCCTTGCCAGTGAATAATGACTTATAATGATCTCTAGTTTTTGTCGATGTCGTGATTGTGTGTTGCAATTTTTAGGATATTTAGCACTGTGGCGTGAATCTGAGACTTTTTTCCTAAACTGAGACCAATTTTTTTCTCAGGATCCACTCCACAATCTCCACCCACCTCTTCGTCTAACTTGCCAGTATGTAGTTGCACAAATTGTGTCTTTGTTCTCAATTGGGTACGGTATTTTTTTTTAATCCGTTAGATTGGCTCCCCAGAAAGCCAGCATTAGGCTAGCTTTAATCGCATCCGTAGATTGTCGACGTAGTATTTCTGGGTACGGTCATTTGTTATAATCTCCATCACTTCCGTAATAGCTACCGTAATAGCTACAGTACCTCCAGCAACAGTGAATCACAGTTCCTGTTCTGCTGCTGCTTTGACGAGCTCTCTAGCGATACTGTAGTTGTTTGAAAAATGTAAATAAGTATATTCTCTCTTCTATCCATGCCTGCTCCTATTTGTTTTGTATTTTTTCCGATATCCCCAGCCTCTCTATTTGACGAATATCGAATTTGTGCCTTTTTCTAAACGATTGCATGTCTTTGTACCGAAACACTTCACTACGGGCCCATGGCGCACACTTTTATAAACGTAAATCGTGCCTAGCAAATTGTGAGGGTTATTGTGCGTTTTTTAAAATTTTCTCGATTTCTAACTGTTTTTCTTTATTTTTATGTTGAGAGTTCAGAGATCAGAGATCACCCAGTCTGCCTCCATTTCACCCATTGCATTTCGTGACCACCACTGCAAGCCAGTCGAATTTTTTTTTATTGACGCTTTGTGATGGTTTACAGTATATCTATTTTATTCTATATAATGATAAATATTGAAATCTATGAGAATATGTTGCAGAAGATAATATATGTCGAAAAAATTCTTTTTTTACAATTTGTAGAAAATAATCGAGTGAAGGCCGTGCAGATACATATCGCCGAGTTGCTTGTAACTTAATTTACGTATTGCACAACACGCGCGTTACTTGACGATTTCTAAGACTAAAAAGTATTTTTCCAAAGATTCCTCCGCTTTCTTCCCTCTTTTGGCTTGGCAGGGTATGTATGAGGTACACACTTCCACATTCACACTGATATAGTTAAGTGTCGTCGGTTTTCGCGCATAGTGTGCGGACTCACACATTAAGTTACAAAGCTTTTCGCGCATACTTACCGTAATCCGACGCGTCATCTGAGAGCTACATAAGAGACATAGAGGAGGTGGGGGTGGGGCTTGAAAGAGCTAAAAGGTCAAATTCCGATTCAGTATCCCATTGTAACTCACAATCAGTTGAAAAGTCAAATTTTCAACAGCGAAAACATGAAGTTCGAGAAAAGTGCATAGGTCAGATCTACACATCCCATTCTTGCGTTGAATAATAGAAATAGGTGCTAATTCGCTCCGCTTTTCCGCTATGGCGGCACTCTAAATTGGGGAACGACCACACTAGAATAGTTCGCCTTAGCTTGAAACAAAACATCTGATTGGTCAGCACATCGGCTGTGATTGGCCAGGTTTTGAGCAGAAAGGATCAAGGGCGGAGAATCGAATGACGTGTGGTTCTACTATCGATAATTTTCCATTTGTACGAAGCACTGCTGGGAGCCCAGAATTTGGTTGCGAGGACGCAAATTCTCGTCGCATTGAAAAAAAAATTGAGTGCAAGCCAATTCAATCAACAAGATGGTAGAAGAAAGGTCTCGAATGACATACAAATAGTTTACTTATAAATATCTCGGTCGAGATATGATAGATGGTCAAAGGCCAAGCCGCTCGTAGCAGCAGCGCCGATTGGCCAGGCTGCACCGTAATGGGCCACCCCGCCGCATTGACCAATAGCGTCGCAGTCTGACCAATCATGGACGCTGCTAGTTTCAAACGATAGAGACTACTTCCACAACATGATTGGTTTTATAGTCGAGGTCAAAACTTTCTGTAGTTTCATCTTCTGAATTTTCTTCTTCACCAAAAATAAGAATTTTTTTCAGAAAAACATCGTACGTTCATACAATTAATTAGTTTTTATTTGAGATTTTGAGCAAATTACAACAAAATTAGATGAGGCCTCAAGATAAAATCCCAAATTGTTCGAAATGCCTTGTAATCACATAAAGTCGCAAACGAACTCTTCCCATTGCCACTGTGCTGATTCGCATCCGTTCCGTCGCATCTTCCAATACTGATAGTGATGACACCTGAAAAAAAAAAGCACAATGGTGATGGAACGAGCTGAGCGGTCAATTGAGTGGGCGGCAAGATAAAACGGAAATATTTCAAACGTGATGTCAGCTGCGTCAATTAGACGCTTCACGAGATGTAACCAGCATTTTCAGAGCAACTTTCCATCACTAAAGTTTTGCAAAAAGAAAGCAACTTCCAAACAAACAATCTGTGAAAAAGCAAATGCTTGAAAATCTCTCAAAAATCGTGAATAAAAGGTAAATATCTGCATTTTACGGAAAATAATCTGCTGTTTGTAAGTTAGGTTCTTATCATGAAGCAAATCATCGATCGATTTTCAGTACTGTAGGATTACGGTAAGGACCAAGCAACTTGAAAACTCTTACACTGAATTAATCAAAGATGGTGAGTCCAAATGTGAAGTTTGCACTTCATCGTAATGCTTCTTTTTTGAGTTTTGTCGAATAACTTTGTAACAAGTAAAAATTCGAGTATATCAGCATGCGTAAAAACTCTAACGTAGAACTCCAGATTTGGAGAAAAATTCTAAACAGCGTCATCATTACTATGGCGCCTGCTAAAAGTTCCAACCGTAATCCTACAGAAAAGAAGAATAATCGGTGATCCGCTTCATACTGCAATTCTAAGTTCAAGCCAGTTCAGCAATATGGTGTTTTAGTAACCGCGAAAGCTCTCCACACATAAAATTATCTAATTTTTTATTTATTTTTTTGATACGCTCGAGGCATGCTACTTTTTAAACAATTCAGAAACCCTCTAAAACATGGTCAGTGACAAATAAACAAGAAAAAACAAAAAAAAACACATAAGAACATCCATTGCATCATTTCAAGTCCAGCTCCGAGTAATTTTAAAGGAGTGAGAGATTGAGCTTGTGTAGACCATGTATGAATCATATTATCGGTGTAAAGGGTCACTGGAGTCTATTGGAGATCTAACCTTCGATACATTTTGGAATACTGCGTTTATTAAATTAAATTGAGTCTTTGATGCACTCCTAGTGTCGTATATAACAGTTTCTATAAGTAATATATACCACAAAATTAGAGTATGCTTTGATTTTTCAAAATCTTTAGCGGATGCACTGTAGATAAATTTAGCCGAAAATGGTGCTCTTTAGTTATGTGACCACCTACCTGTATGCCACCACCAATAAATCGTTGCATCAATTCTTCTCTTGCTGTACCTTTCGGCCGCCAAATATTACAAACCAACTGTAAAAACCCAGATGATCGGAATAAATAGATTTTAGTTACTTATTTTTGTTTTGGTTTCGGCCGATAATAGATGTTCTCTTATCGTTAGTTTTATGTGGATGCTGAGGGGATGCGTATCAAAGTAAAAGAAATGAAGTGCCAATGATCCTGCTACTTTGTACTCATTTTTCTCTCTTGGTAAAGATGATGTACAGATATGATCTAGCCTGGGCCCTCTTCATTTTGGGAAGGTTTTCAAAATAAAAATAAGACTACGGGCATTTCAGAAAGACTGATTTTACTTTTCGGAAAGAATTGATTTCAGAAAGACTGAGTTGATTTTACACAATCTGATGTTTTCTGCTAATGAAATGGTTTAATGGGCATGAAAATGTGGGATATGATTATTCAAAGAAAGCTCAAGCAAATTGGCCTACTTCGTGCTCGCCAGGAGTGCTCGGTAAAAACAGAGATCCATAACCAAGTAACTCTTGTCGACCATAAATGTCATGATGCCACACCTGTAACTGCATACGAGGCCAACCTGGAAGCAGAAAATGGGATAGTTCATTTTTTTAATGAAACGTCTCACCCTGTATAGTCTTTGTAGCTAGATGAAGATCGACTGGATGAGCAAAGTATGCTTCTTCAAAGACAGACGGTAAATCGGTCTGAGTCTGGCCTTCGACAGCACCTTCTACGACTCGCCAACCACCACCTAATCAGACAAAAAAAATCTAAAATTCAGTCATATCAATTGTAAATTTCTGGAAACTGGACTATGCTTTAAATCTAGTTAATCTGCAGTTAATGTTGAGTGACAAGAACGCAGTTTTGCTGATGAAACCACCATCTACTGTCATAACCTTCGTCAAGCATTTCCAAGCAAGTTTTCGAGGAATATGGAAAGTAGTGAAGAAGAATTAGGTTAAAAAAAATTTCAGCGTAACCCCATTTTCGAAGATTCACAGGTCAGATTTTGCTGCGCTCGATTTAGAGAGGTTTTTTGAGGCACCCTTTGCCATAACTAAATTAATTTTGATTGAATAACAGGATTTTCTCTTGTGAAATCGACTAGTTGCGCCTTTGACCTCTTTTGGAAATTTCTCGTCAATTTCCACTGCGTTCTCAAAAACTTGACCATGTAAATCCCTTCTGTAGAATTTAAAAAAAAAAGTTAAACAGCTGGTTTATTGCGGTCGTCTTAACGTCAGTTTAGTTCTGCAGATCTCGATTCCCTGAGTACCATACAAAGGTCTACGAAAAAAACAAAATTTTTTATCTGTGGCGATTTCTAACTCTTCATCAGGGCCTCTTTACTAATTATCACCCCTATGTATGTTGCAAGCGGCACTAAGGATTTACAAAACTGACCTGTTATTAGAGACCAACGACAACAGACTCTATTATCACCGAAGCCATCAGCAGACTCTATCTGGCCGCTCACATACAGTTCGGCCATACAAGTTCTGAAAAGACTCCCATCAACAAGAAACAAGTCTGTCAACTTGTGAAGGATTAGGTATCGTTAAATAAGTAGGCACTCCTTTAGAGCTCAACTCGGAGATACTAAATTTTTAGTAGCTTCTGACATCTTCCACAACCTTTTATGGTTAGGAAAGACAAAGAGATTGAGGAAGATGTAAAAGCTCAGGATTAGATTTGTTCGTGATGCAGGTGAAAGTAATTTTGCATTCTGTACAGAGATAAAAATTGAGCAAAAAATAGTCCAGGTGATACTGAATTATTAACATCGTTAAGGGAATTCCTTGAGAAGATATAAGAAAGTCCGAGAGATATAAAATCAGAAAAGTGGAACTTTAATCCCCAGGTTAATGTCAAAATATTGCTAGTCAATGTTATTAGCACTACTCCATGTCAAACAAAGTAATAGTAGAAAACAGCTCAATGGGGAGTCATATATTTATTCAAATAATAATATATTTAATCATTTATATTTAAATAAATATAAATATATATATTTATTCGATCTATCCGAATCAAATCACGTTCATTTCGTCTACAGTTTTTATTTTGCTTTTATTTCTTTCTTTTCTATTTCATTTTGTTTTTTAAGGCACGTAGTCATGAATTTTTTCACATAAAAGGCAACAAGGAACTTTCTCAAAAAGTAGGGCGAGGATCGAATGGGATGTAGAGCCATGAATAGACATAAAAGTTGGACTGCTCTGCATGCGTGCAAAACCCATGGCAATGTTTCCATAGCAACGAACCAAAGAAGTCATTAGCGCCTTAAACGTCAAATTCAATATTCTAAATTTACGATAGAACCTTGGGACATTGTTTTCTCAGCTTTTGGTATCACATTGTAGTTCAGATGTAAATTTCAGCTGAAAATCACTGGTTTTGAGGAGCAATAATATTTAGTAAACATTGCTTGTCTTACTTGAATCAGCATTCGCGACTTGAGTTCCTGAGTATCGAAGCAAAGTCTATGAGGTGTTGCCAGATACCTTTTAAAAGAAAATTGACATGATGTATCACATCTAAAACGGCCCAACGTAGGTTAAATCCTTTAACAATGGGAACATTCTCTCGAGACAACATCAGGAGTGTAATTGGGGTTTAATTCTTTCTAGGCTATTTTCTACGCATATGGCTATAATTTAGGAAAAGAGATTCTAACGCAAACGGTACACTTCTACTAAAGAAATAGTATACTATCTGCATCTGCAATAGAAGTGCAAAATAACTAACGCAAAAGAGCATGCTTCAGGGTCTGAAAGGAGTCTGATTAGTCTATGTTGCCATCTCTACGTATCTCCACCGATACCTCAACCATATTAAAAAAATGCAATTTCAGCCATCCTCCATCTATGTATCTCTTTAGAAATCAGAGATGTAAATTGGTCACAATTTGAATTGCAATCGTAAATTCGGTGTGAGTGGCCTGGAGATAGTAATTTAAAAGTTGCGCTCTAACGTACCCAGAATTGAAACGCTTTTGAATGATTCAAATTCTTGACAAACCTAGATACATCAAAGCCAAATCATTCATATTCAAACTAAACATGTTGATGGGCGTGGCAACTCGCCCCTTCTACATTCTGGAACAATTCTCTCGCTTCTGATCCCACCTTTTGCAGCTGGTTTGAGGGATCACGTATTTAGGGGCCTTCTATTGCTCACTATTACCTGATGCAGGAGCGAATGAAGGTGGTGAACATTTACTGCTTATATCAGACCAGCTCAGATACCCGGCTTTGCTCGGCCCTGTGATATGAGCCAGATATCTGTTCACTAATATACTTCACCGCGCCTCAAGAGGCAGCATCCTACCACTGCATCTATACTCTATGTCAGTGCGTATTGGTTTCTCTACCGTATGCTTATTCGTGCTTCCGCTCGGCAAAGTCCTCATCTTCGTCCGTGGGCGTATTGACTTGGTATGACTTGATATGCCCGCAGACTTGGCGCGAGACCTTGCAGAGCTGAAGCACGGATTTGGTAGGAAAAACAATAAGCCAGAGAATGTATGCGTACAGGCCGTCTGACTCAATTTAACAAAGCTGTAGCCTTACAAGTGTTTTAGGCTGCGTTCATACTGATCCCAAAGTCCTGGAACAGTTCCAGCAAAGTGCTCGAACTGAGCGCTGTGCTGGAACTGTTCCTGGACTTTGGGATCAGTATGAACGCAGCCTTATGTAGCCCAAGATAATCCTTCAAAAAGCGCTATTCCGCCCAACGCTATACCACAGCCTTGGAAATTGCATCCGCTACGAAATCGGCAACCGCTTCTTAGGCAGGCGCTATACTCCTTGAGAAGTATAGCATGGCGACGATCGATATGCATCAAATACGTGTAAAACCGGCGATTTTTATCGCCGATATTAGCGATCGCCAGTCGTAGCGACTGGTGATCGCCCGTCGCCGATATTGGCGATTGTACTTTATATACCCATTGATGGCAAACAAGTTACCAAACGTCAAATCGATACATATCAAAAGTGTAGTCGCCGAAAACTGGCGATCGCCAGTCGCCGATATTGACGACTGGCGATCGCCAATATTAAAGTTTTTCATCTCCCTTTTTTTGAACTTTCTTATTTTTTTTCTTATTTTTTGCCTCGTTTTTTTTTTGTTCTTTTAGTACTTTGATTATCATTGGCGTAATTCGGATCATTAGGATGTTTTGAAGACACTTAAGAGCCTGATAATGTATTCTTAGGCAATGTCATCAAAATGTCATCGCCAATGTTGGCGATCGCCAGTACTTGGTATCTAGATAACATAGCTATTAGATAACATCGACGTTGTATTGTGAAAATTAGTGGTGGTTTGCGGATAAATTAGCAACAGCTATGCCTTCCTGTACTTAATGACAAGTTAAAATGGAAAAAAAGAAAGCTAAATAACTGAGTTTTGCAGGGGTTTCTCATTTTCAGTGTTTCACAGTAATGTGTGACTTCGTAGGTTGTTCCCTTTTCGAAGTAACCAGTTACGTTGAGAATTATTTCAAGGAGATGGATTTTGACTCAGTTGCGAACGCCGTTGATGCTCTGAGGGAGCTGGAAAATATTGAAAGAATCGCCCACGACGTACCCGCCCGGCCTTACGTGCGCCCACAGCATTTGAACTTTGTTGACTGCAAAACAGAATTGAGGTTCTAGCCTTAGTTCAAAGAATTCAGCACAGAAAACTCGAAATCGCTCTATATCTACAAGTTGTTTGAACATGCTCGAACTAATTTTGTCCAAGTGGTCTATCATCAAAAATGGGATATGCCAACAGCGCTTTTCAAATTGAAGTGTTTTTGAGTCTCCTAGTCTTAGGAATAAGTTACCTCTTGACACTTGATCTGCAGCTTTCTTCTTTTTATGGCTTTTTATGGTATAAACGTATGTTCAATAGAAAGCACTTTTCTGTATAGGCACAAACAAACCATTACTTTCTCACCCGTGCTAAGTTCTTGAGGCACTAGATTAATGAAGAATGGCATTAGATGGCAAGAGATGAAAGTTAGATCGTCCACGTTAACCACAGCACTTGTTTTTGTGACTCCCCTTCAGAAAGGAGTTGATTTCCCTTCAGTGTCCCTCGTTTGGCGCTGAAATTTATAGGGTGTGCGCGCTTAGTCGCCAGGGTTCGCGGAATACAGATTTGCACTGGGACATGGGGTGCGCTCTTCGCAGCCATTTGTAGTTAACTATAGGTACGAGTATAGAAACGATGCCGTTTTGACTCCATACCGTCTGCGCTGGGCCCTGGCTGGAAAGAAGAATCTTGATAAAGGATCCAAGAGCACGCATTTCGACGACTGGTAGCGAACGCCAGCTGCAGAACAGCTATAGTCTGTCCCATTCGGTAACAGGGAGAATCGTTAACGTGAATTCAAGCGCTGGGGTGTGCGCTGCATGTGCGCGCTGTCGAACAGCGAAGAGACTGAAAAGAGAGCAGACAAGCAAGCCGTAACGTGACGCAAGATGCTATGCAACTGCGCACCACTTCGATTTTGGCCTGATTTGGACTGGGACAAACTGTGTGCATGAGGAAGTAAGACAAGTGTAGATGCTGTCAATCCTCTGCGATCGGAATGACTGCGTCTATACGATATTTTATAGTCGCGTTCAACATTTTACCTACAAAAGGAAAAGATTCCCGACCAGTGCACCTCAGCAGCCACCCTTTTCCAAAGAAAGAACGAGGTAGGGTCTTCGGAACCATCGTCCAGTATGCCTGTGACTTGCTGTGAGCTTTCCTCGTCCGATCTAGGACAGGACACTGGATGATGCCCAATCCCAAGAACAAGCTGGATTTCGCAAGGATTCAGTTGCATGGATCATATTCCAGGCAGTTTCGAGATTATGGAAGTCCGTCGGGACCATATTCCAGGCAGTTTCGAGGTTATGGAAGTCCTTCGGGACAGAAGCCTCTTGTCCTAATCTTCGTCAACTACGAGAAAAAGCCTTTGACAGCTTCGAAGTTCGAACCACAGCCATCCTGTCTGCGCTATTCGATCAAGGAGACGACCCAACTTACTTACGTGAGGACGTCAGCACAGTGCTACAAGGACTGCGCAACGACGATGCAGTAAAAATGAGAATGGAAGGCCCCCTTCACGGAGACTCTCTCTAGGTGTAACTGGGATGTTCAACATGGAGAACGATTTGAGGAAGTAACTCAGTCACAAGAAGCCCTTGGCAGAAGAAGCCCTTGGCCGCAGAAGACCTTGGCCGCCCTCAAATCTCCAAAGAAGCTACAGATCTAATGATTGCGGAGTTCGCGCCCTCCAGTTCGACATGGCTTTTCTCCCAGCGCAGCCAAGACCTGGGCCGATAGCGGGGACCCTTTAAAACCTTTACGGGCCACTCACAAAGCACTCGATCGCAGTCTTCTGAAATTTACCAAACACAAGCAACCTCCCGTCGGCTTCGAAATCCGGTTCTGTGAAGAATGTCACGCCTTTGCAATTCATTAGAATACGTGCGAAAGCAAGACTGATGAGTCGGTCACATGAGAAGAACAGACGGCAGATGAACACTAAGAACATCTAGGTGAGATCCTCGCAAAGCGAAACGTCTCCAGAAGTTAATCAGCGAGATGGATCGACGTGTTCGTGAAAAAGAAGGACCAACTGAGAAATCAGCTGGAAACCGCCGTCACTGCTGAAACACGCATCCACCAACGGCAAGCGAAAAGAGCGTAGATGTTTGAAGCGAGGGACAGGTTCAAACGACGCCAAGGTGGGCCATCTAGCTATCTAACAAGAGGATGGTCAGAATTCGAAGTGGTTGACCAACAAGCTGCTACCGCTAGAATCCCGTGTAGACCATTACCAATCCACCTTTCGATCTGTACTGTATTCCGCGCAAAGGTACAGGCGCTAGATTCGACCGCATCTCAGCGCGTTTAGTCACCGGTAGCCCTCTTACAGGGCTTTACAACCTGAGTGTCCCACCCGCCCCGCTAGGACGCCACGCTTGGGTCCGCGCAGCGTTCGTGGCGCTGGCTGCGCGTCGACTGAAGCTTGGCGAAATCCGGGCGATACGCAGTAAACGCCGCGCGCGGCCTGAGCGAGGCGGCCGCGTTGGAGGAGCCGCGCAAGCGAAACTTGCGACTCTCAGGTTGAAAAGCCCTGTACATTAGGCCTAAGGCATACCTCACGCGATTTTAGTCGTCGCGCGAATTGGCACTGCAACGACTCTCCATAGCTGCTCGTAAACGCACTTTGTTTGGGCAAGACTTGCTGTGTTTGTTACAATTTACGGAATCTACGCACCCACGCATCTGAGAGCCTCGCGTGCTTAATCTCTAGACATCTGGCAAATCGCCAAGTCGCGAGGATGTGGCGATTTCGCGAAATCGCGAAAGGTTTGCCTTAGGCCTCAGGTGGGTAGCCTAATATAGGCATGCAGACTCATGATATTGTATGGTACTAGAACGCTAGTGAAAATCCGAAGACCAGAGGATTTTTTTTAGCAAAATCCGAGACTCAACTCATTCTGGAAATCGGGGTTGTGATTTTATAGTGTTTGCTTTCTGGCTCGAATTTCTGCTCTTCCTTGGCTCTCAAACCTATTGCAGCTCCTCTTATCTCCAAATCCGAACCTCATACCGAAGCTTCAACAACATAAGCAAGGAATCGTCAAATTAGTTTATACATCTTCACTTACAGACTGTTGCAATATTAATAGGTCATTTTCACATATACAAACCGGAGGACAATGGAGTCAAAACGTTGTTACTCTAATTCATCAAAGAGGATATTCCAAACTCGCAAAATCACATCATTATGGAATGTGTTACTAATTCACTGCTCAAATTTTCAGCAAATGGGATGACAACCACTGCGCGGCCGATGGGCAATGCGTCATAGTAGATTCTGTCAAAAGGGTCGTTTGCAGGTACAACCATTCTATAACTTTCTAGAACGTACGTTAACAACACTAAGGTACTAATCGTTAATGTTAATTTAAGTAAGCGACATATCACATAATCACTGGTCTTCTCGTGCAAGTTGATACAAAAAATCTACTTCTTCTCTACGAAATCAAGATTTAACTTGAAAAACACATAAGGGTAGTACTCGTTCACGCCCAATGACATCAGCGCTGGTGAATCTTCCAAAGTCTAAATATGGTCAAATTGAGCATATTTCTTTGAAAAAAAAGTGAAGGATATCACTGGAATAGTTCTGTAACTTGTAAGCTTACATCAATAGGGCCTGCAGCTGATCCATCAAGATGGATGTATAACTTGTGCAATTCTGATCGCAACTTCTTTTGGGATCCTTTAGCTGGTTCTACTACCGCCGCTTGGAAATTCACAGGTAGGCCATACCTAATGTTTTCAAGATAGAAATTGCAGCATAAGCTTCTGGTGAAGTTTTTTTATCCTAATTAGTAGATACTGCTCACCGTAAAACAGATTCCACAAAAACTCGGAGGGCTTTCACGTGGATATAAGCTGCAAAAATTTCACCAAAATTGATCTTCAACCATCTGAAAGTCAAAGTATTTCTTTCCATATAGAAATGATTTCCATTGAACGTTACCTAATCAAAGGGGCATATTGTCGCTGCTTTTCTGCTACCAACTTATCACGTTCGCTCTTTCCAGCTTTCAAGGATTCTTCGTCATAAACGAAGTCACGCACAATGAATCTGAAATAAATGGAGTTACCACAATCCTAAACATCGTGAGTTCACAAAAAAAATTGATAGAACTGCCCCGCATGCAATATGCCTATATGGCTTAGATAACCCATTCCGTAAACATACTGTCGATGTCAAAAAAAAACATTACGGATGTGTCAAACCTACTTGTGTTCTCTAGCCACAGTCTTGAACTCATCGATAACTTTTTTGAACAAAGTTACAGAGTATAGGGCATGTTCGCCTTCTTCCGTGATGAGTCGACTTGATCCTGGAACAACCATCGAAGTGAAAGTCGCATACTTTTGTTCCCATTCCTTAGCATTGAGCCTAAACAAAACTAAAGTATACTAAGCAACCTCCATCTAAAAAATAATAAAGGGGGAAGAAAAAGACGAACTTCGGCACAACAACCATCAATGTCTGCAGATACTCCGAGTTTAGCACAAAGTCGTCAGCTTTGACGATGTCAGCAAGATCTTTCGTTATCAGCGAGCCACTAAAAAAAGTTTGTAAAAACACTTGAGCAGCAACATTTCATAGAAAACCTACGTTGTTTTCCTGTCGATAGATGCCAAACTGTTCTTGAGGTTGTTGTATGCAACTGATTTCTGTTTCAAATCATTGTCAATCTGCGTCACTTGCTGGAAAAAAAAGGCCTTTGCATGAAAAATGAAAGTAGAATATGAGTTGGATAGAAAAAAAACTCGACAACTAGTAAGATAATCTACCTTTCCAATGATTTCGCTAAGCACTTTGAGCGATTGTTTCAGCGGATATTTCGCGCCTTCCCATTGGAATTTCGTGACATAAGTTTTGATGTCCTCTAAACACTAACATGAAGGAGTGTTTAGTGTAAGTATGGAGTATACACTGACATGCAGCGTGTAGTGTAGATAAGGCAAAACTCACTGTTATTTATAAGCAGATTTTCAGCCAGCTTGCTTCGGTCATCCTCGAGGACGTCACCAAAATACTGGACAAGCTTTCTTGTCACACTATAATAGAAAAGGTAGGCTATGATGGCACTAATTTCCTATACGAATAATATTTTATGGTTCTCAATGAGTTTAAAGCTGTGATATGAATATGTGACGTATAGCCAATGGCCCCGTTCAGAGTTCACGCGAATTGATCGTCGCGATTCAAAAGCTACAAGACAAGTGTTACGACTTCGTTGCATGCCAATCTTCTTGCATTTCGGTGGTGATAGTTTTCCAACACGACTAATCGTGACTAACTATCACAACCGAAATACAAGAAGATCGGCATGCAATGAAATCGTAACGCTTGTCTTGTAGCGATTGAATCGCGATGATCAAATCGCGTGAACTCTGCCTGATGCCTATGGGACACATAAGCGCGATTATTGCATAGCTGTCAACGCCGGCCCACATACAAAATTGCAGCCCCAGCAGATAAGGCAGTCCTATTGTATGTAAAGTTGTTTATCGTTATTCCACTGATTCAACAGTCGCCTTTAATTGCTTTCGAATGGTGCTAAGCCTAGAAAACCATCAATACGCAGCCATGTTATGTGCGGTCATGCATACCGACTCGCAAACGTTGTGTCACATCATCGACCGCAGCTTTATGCTTTTTTATCACTAACTAGGACCAGAGAGGTGACACTCACCCTTCTGCAGTCGAATCAAGCTTGGCAAGATCATCAGACAGCCCAACAAGTTGATCAAGGGTGCCAACCTGAAAAAAGATCGCACTAAATTGAGCGATATTTCAGACAACAATCAATTTGAGCCTTCACTAAAAAGCTATATAAGTGGTTCAAACAGCTCTTATATGAGTGTGCATTCCGCAGTTCAGCCCAATACTGGAAAAATTTAGCCGGGGAATGCAGAAATTATTTGCATACCCGACTCAAATACCGATTGCAATAAAATTCATATTGTATAATTGCAAACTCTTGTACTTTGCTCTTGATCTACTTCGAGTTTCCTAGCCCCAAACACCTTTTTTGCTACAAAGCCATACAACTTCATATTTACTCATTTATTTTACGAAAAAAAAAAACGATTTTGCTTAGTAGAAATGCCATTCAATCATGAAACCTGACTTTGTACCCAAAAACTCTTGCAAGCTTTCAGATTATCCTCAAGAGTACAAAGGAGCATTACTAAGACCTACTTTTAAATCAGGAATGTTGAACTTCGAATTGCTTGAGAGATTTGAGGTGGATCGGTTCAGCTTATCCCAAGCATCGTTGGCACCTTTCTCGCCGGGTGCTGATATCAGCCAATATTCACCAGACGAGACGGACATGCCTAAATTTTTTTGTTTATTCAAATTTCTTCAATACTAACACAATGTACTCAACGGCCTCCTCTCTACGAGGATTAGAAACAAAAGATGAGAAACACGCACCGCACATATGTGAAGGAATGATGGGAAGATTACATGTAATTCATCAGAACATCATTGGAACAATCACAAATCTGGGAGACGATAACGATTCTATGTGCAATACAAAGATGTGAACAATAGCTATGCTATCTTATCTGGGAGAAGTTCTAAGTATGATTGGGATATTGTTATTCTTTGTAGAATAACGATCACAGATGAAAAGCAAAAGAACAAAGAATGGAAGGGAGTGATGATGGATAATGTCGCAAAGAAACCAAACACACTAAAGTAGGGCTACATTGAAATGATTTGTCTGGAAGGGTACGAAATTGGCTACATGGCAGCGCTGAAAGTCGAATTCGCTCTCGAATGTGCTTGGTTTCTACTTCGCTTTGGTGTCGTTACAAGAGTCAAGCACAGTGAAGCAAATTTATGAAGTTCCAAGGATCAAAGCGACAATCATGCCGTATAGACCCAATACTTCGGAGAAAATCAGGATCAAGATCATTCCGACGAATAGACGAGGCTGTTGAGCTGTTCCACGTACTCCAGCATCTCCAACAATTCCGATGGCGTAGCCGGCTCCAAGTCCACACAGCCCACACGTTAGGCCTGCAGCCAAATGAGCAAAGCCTTTGTTCAGATTGTAGCCTTCACTCGAAGCGGTCACTTTTCCTTTCAACACCATTGCCACGACCAAACCGTAAATACCGATGATACCAGCCATAATGACGGGAATCACAGATTTCATGATCAGTTCCGGTCGCATCACACCCATCGAACAAATACCGACCGCGGATTTCGCTGTACCGTATGCGGCTCCAAGTACGGTAAAAATCTGCGCTGAGGCAGCACCCATGTAGCCGAAGAATGGCGCATAGGCAGGGCTTTCAGCAGCTTGGAGATCGTACGACATATCTGCTGAAAATGTTTGTATTTAGATTGTAATCAATGAAAGCAACCCGAGTTCGAACGATCATATGACGTACAAAATGCCGCATTGCGACCTTAGCAGCGGCGCGAATTACATAAGAGGCAAATGCTAACAGAATTTCAACAACATGAAGTTGTTTCAGAATAAAATTGTAATCATAGAGATTGCCGAAAAGTTTGAAAAACATCTCAGCTACTACAGCCAATCAGGAACAAAACCTTATTTATGTAAGCAGAAACAAAAACGCATGGAACCTTGCTGAATTATCACTCTTTTAGACTTAGCGACTGCAAAATATGTAACCAGGTTCTATAGATTTTGAAAGGAGTTCACTGACAGACGCTGTCTAAGCTTCAGGGGTTTCAAGAATCTTGAACTTACATAACATAAAGCATAACTTATCCGTCAGCACCATTGGTTTATAAAAACCCCCAAGTAATAGCAAGGGCCTTTCCTAAACGCTGGAGAATTTCCTAAAGCCATCCAAACGCTCTCATTTCTCTTTCTAACTGCACTACAATATAACAACAAACAAAAGAGCCATATAGTTACTTCTGCGCTCTAGACGATGTAGAATGACAACACCACAGTGATGGTAAAAGCTCCAACTATCCCTAGGAAATCAGGACTGTAGATCCCAGTGACTGGTTGAACAACTACGAACAATAGCAAGGTATTTTATACTATGTAAAAGCTGCATAAAACGCAACAAACACGGTAAGATAAGGGAACAATCAATTGCAGAGCAATGAAAGTTCCAAGATCGATTCTCGGTCTCTGGCTAAAAGCCGGCAGTCATCATTCGCCACGGGACCAATGTTGGCCGCAGTCTGCGACCATCGCGGGAATGGAGCAAAACTTTTCACTTGGAATCTGTTACTGAAGCGCGAGCTGTTGTTTGAAGTAGACACACCAGGTTGCAGATACGTTGGGGACAGTCCATCTGGCAATAAGCGCCTCTTCACCCCCCCCCCTCCTTAGTCCCGTTCTCACAATTCTCTGTCAGTCAACCACATCAAGTGTATCAATACGAATATTGACATTTGCGACAATCATAAAAACATTTTATTGGTAATATTCGTTGGTATCTACCTTTTATATCACTATCAAATTTTACATCAATACTAATCAACATCAATACAATATTGGTTCAAATATCTATGAACCTCAACCCTGCTAAATTATTTTCTCCCAAACTTTCCGCGGTAAAGACCTGCCAACTAAGGAGTTTAATTAAGTTATTGTAAAAATGGTCTTGCGATGTTGATATAGGCAATCCCATGCATGTAGCGGGCGTGGCCCTGCAGACATTTGAACACGTTGGAAAAGTTTGAACCTCCATTTTAAAGCATTAGTTTTTCAACTCTCTAGCTGCTGCAAATGCAGCAATGTGATTCATTGTATTACATGTGAAAAATGCAGAAACAATGTGTTGGGATGACAATCCTTGAAAGCAAAATAAAAGAACTCATCTATCATCGAAAACGGAGAATACTCTGAAACTTTTTCTTTTTTTTATCAATCTTTCCGGATATCTCAATTGAGGCAACATTCAATAACAGAGGAGCTTTGTGCTCCGTCAGTCGATACGGTTGGTATGGGCCGTCCACGATGTGCACGGAGAGCAACGCTGTTGCGTCCGTTGTAGATAGTTCGTGACTGGAGGAAGCGCAGAGGAAACACGTGGCGAGAGTGCGCGGGGAAAGAGGATTGACGCGCAATACGCACCTTGCGCACTCTTCGCGCCCTGCGCGGACGGCCCATAGTATAGGCGTTTCCGCGTGTAGCGCGGCCATGCAGACATTTGAGCACGTTTACAAACTTGAACCTCCATTCTAAAGCATTAGTTTTTGTATTTTCTAGCTGCCAGAAACTGCCACGCGCATACCTACGTTGGCAAACGTCGGCAAAGCTCCGCCCGCTATACTGTGGGGAAAGGACGATAACATTTGCCATGAATTCGTCGAGACGTCTTGCTCTAAGACAGTCAAAACCTAATCACATCCTCAAATGAGCTTTAACTGGTAATAACTTCTCAGTCTTCGTCTGAAATTTAGTGCAGGCTGCAATGTTGCTCTCCACTGCGATGTGCTAAGTTTCGTTACCTCACTAATGTGCAGAGTGTTGAGATAAAAACGAGGTTTATAGCTGTCTTCTTTATTGCCACATTGTCTTTTGAAAAATTAAATGACAGAAAGACACAGTTCCATGAAATCATCTTTATCAAGGCTCTAGCGTGTTCAACAGGAATGTTAAATAAAAAAAAATCAAGTGATTACTGAACTAATAGTTCATCAAAATGATAATACCTCCGACTTGTTCTCATTGATTCGTTCAACTAGTCTCTATCACAGATGATATGATAAAACCTCAAAAAATGGAATGAACGGGCGTGTTTCTCAAAATGGAAGTAAAAGATTTGGCCTACGAGATTACTTTGAAACGCTCAAGTATTACAGCAAGATGTATAAAATAGGCACGTAGAGATAATCATAAAGCCAGTCCCATGAAACAGATTATATAGCATTAAATAAATAGATAAATTAAAAAAAACTAGTTCTCAGGTATTTGCAACTCTTTCAAGACCTGCTCGACTTGCAGCATGGTGTCAGCTGGGTTGGTTACGCTATGCCCTATCGTTCTGGGATCTTCGAATATTGCGTGGTCATTTCCTCCCTAAAAAAGAAAAGGAGAAAATCTGAATATAATCTTTGTCGAACACACAATGGTCCGCTAACGTAAGCTCGAGTTTCTTCATCTAGCAAAACCCGCGTCTCTTAGCTAATGGTTTTAGAGATATGAGGACCAACCGGCATTGTCTTGTCGCCAAAAAAGTGTATGACATCGAAGTCCTTTTCAACGTACTGCAGACAGTATGTCTTATCCCATCCATGTGGAAATACATCCACACTTATTTGGCCTCCTTAACATCCAGGATATACTCTAACGAAACATTAAAACTCTACATTACCTATGACACAGTTAAGTCCATAATCCGAAAAATTTTGAAGCAATGCTTTCACAAACTTTTCTCGAACTCTGTGCTCACTGTCATAAATGACAAATTGATCACGCTCTGCTTGACTACAACTTCGACCAATCGGAGACAGATTAAGCATACCCTAAAAAACAAAAGTCAACAAGACAACTGTTTTTGAAAGTGAAAAATCCCACCTTTCTGAATTCAACAAAATTTCCTCGTTTTACGGGTAGTGTGATTTCAGAGAAGTACTTCAGCGTAAAATTTATCAGCTTTTGAAGCTTTTCTTCACCGATAAAATCTTGTATGGTCTAGATACGTAATATATTGGTTTTGATTTGCGCTTGCCGCTTAAGACGCAGCGACCAAGGACCACTGACGTTCTCAAAGTAACTACGAAAAAGGAAAAAATACTAACCCTGCCGGGAAATTGCTCTTTTCCTTTGAAACCAACAAGACCATTTTCCGAAAATACATAATCGTATCGGGACAGTACTAAAAGTTACAATAATCATTTTGCATATCGCATAGACATTAACGGCAAGTGCGAAAATCAATAATGGGTATGCAAAAAGGGTTTCAGAACGGGAAGTGGCAAAGAAAAGTTATTATTAAGCGTCTTACCGTTTACTTGTGTAAGAAATGTGAACAAGTATGGTCCAAATTGCTTATATATGCTGGAACCCGTAAAAAAACTCACATTCTTCTTTACTATCAGCTAACTGCTCAACAATTTTTGCGAGATCCGATCCTCCAACAACAGCTAATGGTACCCGCTTTCGTACATTCGTCAAATAGTCATGTACCTCCCTTTGAATTTTCTGAAATTGGGATCAGTTATTAGGAGATTTCCTTCGCCATGCAGACTTGCCTGCCGCGCCGGTGTTAATGTGCCGTCCACATCGAATAGAAGTAAAGCTTTTTTCATGAGTGCTATCCTAACTGCTACTTCACTACTCACTGGAAGACTGTTTTATAGAACCAGAACACTATTCAGTAGACTATGATGGCATAGGACTCGATAAAATAATGTTATTAAAACGTCACCCCACGACGAAAAAATATTATAGGATAGTGCTTCTGTCACAGAAATAGTTGGGATATGTGTAAGTAATCCTTTTTAAACGACAACAACTGGGACGCAAGAAAGGAAACTTTATTGATGTACTCTAGATTACTGAATATGTGAGAATGACAGAAAAAAATTAACTTACAAAAATCACAGTTCTTACCTCAAAGCTGAAAAAACACCGCACGTTTACATCCTATTTAAAGTAAATTATATATACAGGGAGACATTAAGATGTAATAAAAACACATGAATGCAAGCAAGCACTGCTCGCATTCAATACACGTGGAAACCGTATATCAATCAAACTTCGAGATCTACAGAGCGCTTGTAAACGAGAGAGGCTGGACGAAGAGGGCATTGCTCACTTGCTACTCTCAGCGATGATCGGCGGCTAAACAAACATTGCAGTGTGAGTGCAACAAATGCAACACCTACGTGATGATTCTCACTAGTACAGGAAAAAAAAACAGAATGGACAAGAAGAATCAAAAACTCACCTTGAAATTCAGAAGAGAGATCACATCACCGCGCGTCGTGCATCCCACAGACACAATTCTTCTTCTCTCCAGAAGCTCATCTAATCTCGTTAAAAGGTTCATTCTCTCACACTCGATTGTTCCAACAAGAGCCTAAAGGACGAGAAGAGCTTCGTTAGGAAGTTGGTATGGTTCAGCAATTAACTGCCACCACAGCCATACTTACCTGCACCCATCGATGATGTTGCGCGCATTCTTTCCTGGGTGCACAGCAGAAGCCTTGATCTCTCAAAAGGTCGGGACCGTGCTCGAACATCTCGGCAAATGTCAAGGATTTCCCTTCTGCCCATGCTTTTGGATAAGCACAGATCTGACATTGATGTGATCAATGCATTGTAAATCCGGGTAAAAAAAGGCTGTACCTGCAGTTCGTTTTCTAACTCTCCTTTGTAATGTTCAGCACAGATTACCCGCACTCTTTTACAGTATGTATTATTCGCTTTGTTGTAGGCTTCGCAGAAAAGATTGTCTGGGTTAAAGGCAGCCTAAAATCTTTGCATTTCATTGGGGATCGTACAAAAGTTCAAAAGAACCAACGGGAGTGGGCGTTCCAAATGACGTCTGCTTTTCCGTTCGCACGAAACATCGCTCGACATGTTTCGGGAGTTGGCGGCCATTGGTTTCCATTCCGCACACAGTACAATTCACCATCTGTACGACACGTTTTCGAAAAGGGCGTTTTCACTGTAGATAGTAGAGAAACTTACAAAATCAACATCTCCAGGCTCATCGTAGCTCACAGAAGTTGTTGATTTCATGGCCTTGATTAGAAACGATTTGAGTAATTGCTTCAGCAGAAATATTTAACAGAACTCACAGTCACATATTTCTGGATGATTCGCACATAATTTAGCATGGTATCTGTTTGTTTCTGAATCTGTCCAATTTTTTGATCAATCGCGCGTAGTTCTTCAAGAGTGCGGCGCTAAACTATCAAAATGTTAAGTAAGTAACTTGAGTTCTTTGATTACCTCCGATTCTGGCTGTTCTCTATAGTATTCCTCGACTTTTTGCGGCAGTAAGGTAAGAAGCCGACGCTAAAAATGACTCATCAGATCCGATTGGAGAGGAAAACTTCAAGCCATTATGCTACCTTAGCTAGCTTTATTCCGCATTCATCACTGCAATACTTGCTATTATCCCGGGCTTGTTTTACGCAGTCCGGTTCGATACACTGACGAGGTTCAACCTGAAAATATCCGTCGCTCAAGGACGCTTTCAAGATAATCAGTCTCTGCTATTCAAAAGAATTTTTCAAACCTTCTTAAAACAAAAGTTATTGTGCAATCTTACCTTCTTCGGTGCGTCATGCTTCCTTCTAGAAGTGGGCGCTCGAGCATTGGAACGACGAGCGGGTTCTAGAAAGGACTAATTAGATGGGATCAAAGGGAACAGGGAATTGGATAGTTGCTGATACAAGGTATTGACTTGTTTGTAGTGATGAGGTGAGATACAATGATCAAAGGCAGCGGCTCTGCAGAATGACAACTTTGGGATATGCATCGTTCCCGGTTCCCTTGGGAGCTAAGTCCGAGATTGTCCTTTGCAGCTTTAAAAGATATCAATGATCCGCTTTTCCAGACGTAAAAGCGCTATTTGAGGACGAACCGCGTATCCGCCCTCCGGCTCATGGATACGGTGGGTACAGTATCTCCACTCTCGAGCCAAGCGCGCTCTAGAGGGCAGATACGCGGCCCGCCTTCAAATAGCGCTTTTCACGTCCGGAAAAGTGGGTTACTGATATCTTTTGGAGCTAAAAAGCACAGTCTTCGACTTAGCTCACCCACGAGAACCGAGAACGATGAAAATCCCAAAGTTTTCACTCTCCCTAGCCGCTGCCTTTAAATCCTATGTAAAAGAAAGCAGTGCTTGACACATATGGTACTCTATGTACTACGCAACGCACCGCTGCTTGATCGGCTCTGGGATTCTTATTTTTGCAGTTCGGCACGACTTAATCAGATAGGGATCGGCCATAGGTTTCCGGCAACCGTTGCCGGTTTTTGTAGGCACTGTACCTCTGCCCAGGTGACAGTTGCCGGCAACCTATGCCCGATCCCTAAGGCTGCGTTTTCATACTAATCGCATGTACCAATTCCACCACAGAGCTCAAACTGAGCGCTGAGCTGGAACTGTCCCCGGACTTCCGGATCGGTATGAACGCAGCCTAAGGCAGCGAGCCCAAATAATAAATGAAGGTTTATATATGAAGGTTGCTTACTGCGTTCAATCATCTCCTTGTCGCCGTTGATATGCGAGTTTCCACTTCGTGCCTGAACAATGTTTATAAAGTCAGAAAGCAGGTGAACCTAAGGAGCCACTTGCAGCGTTGAAAGGGTTATTTTTAGAGAATATAATATGGTCAGCGCATAACTATCACATTCTTTCACCCTAGATTATCGACTGTTGCGGTCTACTGGTTCAAAGGCAGCGTTCGGGCAAAAACAATTTCTAGATTTATCGCTTACAATTTGTTCTAAATAAGAGCAGGCGGGGCACTTCAAGTAGAGCATCGCATCCGCATTGCTGGAGACTTTGCGGATGTACGGCCCTGGCATTTTGCTGAGCAAAGACAAGGGAAAGTAAGGAGACAAGACATCGGTTTAGTAAAACGCTAACTGTCACTGCGATATGGGACGAAATGTTAGGCCTCGGGCATACTCACGCGATTTCAGTTGCGGCCCGATTTGGCAATACTCCAAATGTTCATAACTCATCGTACGGAGTTTCTGAATGTACAGAAAATGGGGCATTTTATCAACCTACGGAAGTTATACATGCTGTGCATTTGGGGTCTACCAGTTTTGAATTTGAAGTCATCTGGCAAATCGCCAGATCGCGTGGCGGCTGCAATCGCGTGAGGTATGTCCCTTGCCTTACGCATCAGCTAACGTCCGCCTAAACTGAGTTGAGACTGATCGTACCTGTCTTATCCGCTGTGCTAGATCAAAGATTCCATAGGAGAGCACAAAACCGGAGAATCATGCTTCTCATAGGCACGGCTCCATACTTGATCCGCTTGTCACTGGTCAATTTTGAACTGACCAATAATGAAGTGTAAAAAGCGGATCAAGCGGATCAAGTGGACAATCGCTTCCGCTATTGGTCAGCTCACTAAAATCTCCAATGGCGAAGCAGCTCAAGCGGATCAAGTATGAGCGTACCATAGAGCAACATGAAAATTGGACGAATGGAACGAATCCCGCCATGGCTGTGACGCACAGTCGCTACACCCTGCGAGCTTACTTGCGGTGCATGCGCACTCTGCCGTTGAGAACGGTAGTAAGCGTAAAGGTCCTGCTCCATCAAAACGTAAGTTCCCAACTTCCGACCGTAATTCTCGATTCTGTTCCAATATTATGGCCACGAAATAGCAGATACGTTTCCCCGACTCGCCCGGATACTGCTTTCAATACAAGTTCGAGACACGGCTCCCGGTGTGCGCTGAACGGCACAAACTTTCAGTTAGTGCGGGAGCCAATTGAAAAGGCTAATTTTCCGGTTGCCACTTCCGGCCGCATGCACATCCCCGCTGAGGAGCGGGATCGCAGCTTAAAAGAAAGGTTAATATCCTGACGCTCCGAACTTCTGGACTGCTATCTATCTATCCGTAAGTATTACTAGCATCCTTCACTATGAACATATTGAACAGGAGCGAGAAGCTCAAGCCGCATTTTCCAGCTTTTTGTATGATCCCCCGTTGATCCCCAGCTCCAGACCGTGTCTTCTTCAAAGTCGCTTTCCTTTCTTCGAAGTCAAACGAAGACTTTCCAAAATTATGCAGATTATCTAACACAACAGCGCTAAGCATATTGTTGAGAAGAACAAATGAGTATTCGAGAAATCGGATTTTTCGATAAACCCCAATTTGGGGTTTATCGAAAAATCCGACTTTCTCGAATACTCACTTTGTTCTTCTCAACAATCATGCTTAGCGCTGTTGTGTTAGATAATCTGCATAATTTTGGAAGTCTTCGTTAGACTTCGAAGGAAGAAAAGTGACTTCGAAGAAGAAGACGTTCGCTGCCGGGGATCATCAGGGATCACACAAAAGGCTGTAAAATGCTTAAGCAGAGTTCTTGTACAACTTCTCCCTTTTGTTCAATATGTTCACAGTGAAGGATGGTAGGGGTAGATAGCGTGAAATCCAAAAGTTCGGAGCTTTAGGAAAAGAAGCTTTTATCTAAGCTACGATCCCCTCCCCGGCGAAGATGTTAATGCATGCCGCCCTAAGTCTCGAACGCATGAATGCCCCTGTGGCAGGGAGAGCGTTGCTGCCAGTTTCAGGACGAGGCGTGAGCGAGTGGTCTCCCTTTTGGGAAAGTACCACTTTCCTTGAGATGGGACTTTTGTATACGGCACTAGGGAACTAGGGAAAGTTCTAACATAATCCATACTTTTCCGATCACGTTTGATGCTAGAGAGTTTTCAGGTGGCAGCACTCAGATCGGCTTAGACCTCAGTTCTAGAACAGGAAGACTTACATTTGCATGTCCATCCTTTCTTGGCCGACCTGGACCACGTCTTGGCACCACAGCCGCTGCTGTAAGTGAATGACTATAACTTTATTTGAAACCACCCTTTGGTACTAATTGTTCTGTATTGATGATGCGACCGAATCGTAAGTTTGAATATATACTCATGTGCATTAGCAAAACCATCAATTTGTAGGTATTTAATAAATTAAGGACGAAATGTACCTTCTTGTTTGACTTCTTTCTTTTGAACCTCTGTAGTTTCCTTTCGTTGCGCAGACTTTTGGCTGGCTTTATTGGCTTTCTGTAGTAAAATCGCTTCTTGAACGCATTTTCGCTTCAAGCACTGCGCTCCAACAGCACAGCCATCGCATTTGCCACAGTCTTCAGCACGGAAACAACCAATGCATTCGCCGCAGCGTGGTGTGTTCATAAGATCTAAAACCATCCACACAACTAAAGCACGTCTCCAAAAAAAAAACTCTAGACAGATAAGGCACTAGTTCGTTTACGAAGTTTCAGAAGAGGCTCTACAGATGGTATTAAAATGATTTTGAGTTTTGATATCTAGGCTTTCTTCTACCTAGAAATTGTTTGCAGAACTACATCAAATGCAGAACAGAGTATGCAAAAAAAAACATGATGGATCGCCCTTTCAGTGTATAATGGTGAATTGGACGCGAGAATGAAGATAGCAAAAAGACAGCAGAAAAGCAAGGTTCGTCAAATAAAAGGTCAATCACAATCCTTGATCAATAATGACTCCAGGTACCATCAGTCAATCAAGAGATGATTATTGGTAATCACCAATGACTGTTGACAAAAATCAAAAAAAATTGTTACTAATGCATACAGTGGAACCTTATCAGTATGAAAAGAAACTGCAAACAAGATCTCAATACCTTAGACTTAGCATTCGCGCTATTTGAGAACTCAGCCACGCCAATAAAAATCGACGAAGCTACATCGCCCACGCAGATGCAGTAATGGGTAAATCATAACTGATACGGAATCTAGAAAGCGTGGTTGGCATCTCAGTCAAAGCAGCAAAGATTGTTCATATTCACTATGCCTAAAGAATGTTTTCTCATCTGCAAAAACTGGATGGAACACGTTTGAAAAGACTAATATAATGTGCAAAGCAAGAAGTGATGTTGATTTTAATCAAATTAGTCATTGGCTAAGCATTAGCGTGATATTAAACATCAATCTCGCTGAAATTATTTTCACTTCTTAGTATTTCTTTTTCCGCTGTTAACGCGCTTTCTGCTCTAAAAGGTGATATTTGTTAAGCAGGCACTCGAAAAATATCTAGATCTGCCATTATAACCTCAAGTTCGTCTTATTAGCACGTCACTGTCTACATTCTTGCAGTGGATCAGATCTATCAACACATATTTTCATCGTTCAATCCTATGTGCGACACAACAAGCCATAGGAAGATCTACGGAATGGTAGGAATGGGGAAGAAGAGCTAGGTACAGGGATTCAAGCCAAAAACTCTCGAGTATGATAGCAGGTCGTTAAACAACATAAGAAAAACGCTTTTATTATAAAAACTTACCAGCGGGCTTGGCTGAGGATTCGCCTGACTTGACAGCCTCGTTTTTGACATCTGTACTGGCGGAAGGTTGCGACTGAGCTGCCGCCGAGTTGTTTGCGGCTTGGGATGATGCAGCATTCTCAAGTAGAAGACGCACAAATGCGCTTATGTCATCCATTGTGAACCGTAAACGTGTTTCGATAAACAGCAACACTTCAGGCCATCACAGGACAAAGTCGAAGCAGATTCACGGGAACATTTTCGTTGTATGTACCTGAATGACTTGAAAGAATTCTTGAAGCTAAACCTCTGTGAGGCTGAGAAGCCAGCAGCGGGACAAACAATCAACTTCATCCAAAACTACTATGTGCTAATTTACACAACATATTAGCTGAAAATCAGTGAGCAAAGCGCAGTAATCACGAAGAAAGAACCCTCGACAATGCAGAGCAAACCAGTCTTGTCATTTTAGGTTTTGCTTAAATTTCAAGCGCCAATTCTTATCAGTTTTGAGTGCCAGCTCGAAGGACGAAGTTCGGACCTGCGCAAGATTTTACACGAGTAATAATCTTGGGAAATAATCGAAAAACAATCGATCAAGTGATAGTTGTCCCTGCATTGAGTGAGCTACTTTGACGTATTAAAATTAGAGATTGATAAAACGGAACTTTTGCTTTCAAAATAATAAAATGGTTTGTTATATTTCATGCAGTCGCGGCATCAACCAAATCTTCACCGATCTTAAATGCAAGAACTAATTCTTTATTGACGTAATTCATCCAAACAATAAAGAGACTTTAACAAAGCAACAACTATATACCATTCCACAGCAGTACGCTTTATATTCAACAATTGAAATGAAACAGATGTAAGAGAAATCAAGTTATGCTGAAGCACTAAAGTTCTACACAGACTGAGTGTTCATCAACAGCTCCGTGATTGAATCTTATAAGCATTTTGAGAGGAGAGCTGATAGACTTGAAGGGAACAAATTACCAGAATACCTCAATAAGTGAGGACTTCGGAAATCGACAGACGAGACCATTATTGGACAAGAATTGATTGCACAATCACTGCGCTACACCGTCTTCTCTTCGTTTTCTTCCCCTACTTCTTCAGTGAGAACAATTTCAGCGGGAATAGGCTCATCTGAATCATCAACTCCATCCGCAGCGTGTTCAGTCTAAAAATAATAAATTGCAGCATGTATTGAACGCAACATCATTTCGATACCTTGACTTCTTCTTCAACGCGTTTGATCGGAGGAGGAGGTGGACACGCTCGCTCTACCGCTGAAGTTATCCTATCTGCGTATCGTTTGCAGTCCGAAAGAGCTGACTTGAGGGATATGTTCGAATCCAGTGATGACTAAACACATTTAATCATTTCATAACCGAGAAAATGCGCGTTTCAGAAGTGTCCTTAGCTTCCGCACATTTTTCGTCCTCAAAAGTCACTGCTAAGCAGTTTTTGGTGCAAACGTTACAGTTGCCATTTGCACTACGAATCTTACCTTCAGTGCGCTACTACTTTCATCAAGCCGCTTTTTGTACTTATCCACTTCTTTCTCCAAATCTCTGTTCTTCTTCTCAAGGTCATGCTTGCTACCCCGCAACTGCTCTGAAAACAGAGCAGATTTGAAGAAAAAATCGGACAATATCGTGAACATCTTCTTCAATTTACCGATAAGCGCTGTCTGTTCGGCAACTGTCGTCTTCGCCTGATCACGTTCACCCTCACTTTTCTTCAACAAAGCCAACTTTTGAGCTATGTTTACAACGTTGCCGTTGATTACGACAGTTCCGTCAGGTGAAGATGACATCTGTCAAAAAATGGTATGAATTGAGGACTTTCATATGATTAAGAAGAAGTAAAGCTCACGTTTGCATCACCGTTGATTTGAGGTTGCAACGAGTTTTTGTACGCTTGCAGACCAAAACCTAGAAAATGGATTATCAGCTGAATCACGAACAAAATGTTCACCCCACCTTTGAGTAAAGCAGACACATCGGGCGGATTTTCACATTCACCAGGCGTAAACCTCACATTACCATCAGAATCCACCAGCACATCAGTCAGATGTCTGCAAAGAATACATTGCTTTAGTTGCATCAATTTGAATTTAGAATCAACCTGTAATTGATTTTTTCCCTTGACATCAGTTTATGGGTCAATTTCTGCATCAGTGCTCTCGTGACACCCAACTCGCTGTTAAAGATGATATCCTCCAAATCACGTTCATTCAAGTAGCTGAAAATTATAAGATTTTGATAGACCTCACATTTCCACAAGAATCAACTTACCCGCACAAATTCACATCGAACATGGCGAACGATTCAAAGAGAGAACGATTCGAAACCATCGATTTTAGTTCTAACTTCTCCTTCTTCTCTTCTTTCTTGTCTTTTTCATCTTTCTTCTCTTCTTTATCCTCACCCTCTTTCTTCTCTTCCTCATTCTAGAATTCCCATGATTGAAGAGATTGACAGATTGAAGCAATCACAAACAAACCTCGTCTTTCTTCTCTCGGGCTTCATCACGTCTTTTCCGCTCGCTGTCTTTGTCAGCAGCCCTAGCAACAGCATTGTAGATTGTGAAAGCTGCATGACGTTCCATGAGCTCTTTAAAAGCCTCCACAAATAGCGAAACCTAGAGAATGAGTTTGTGCTTAGGTGATATTTTCGCGACAGCACGCGCATGTTATATTCGTATGATGAAAACCGTGTGTTACCTCAAAATGCGACTCCTTGTTGTCATCTTGTCGATAGTCCAGTAGGGACTGTACACTCATCACTCTGCAGTCAAACTTTCCTCCTTTAGCAGTTTTTGATGGATAAACAAGAACCTGAACATACTTCGTTCACTGGAAAAGAGAGGCTATACGAAGAACGATAAGCTAACATTAAGATTTTATCAAATTCAAAAGAATACCTTTCTTTCCTTTGGCATTGTGTAGTGTTTCTCAAGAGCTGCTTTCTTTTCCTGCTTCTCCTTCTCCAATTTTTCAGCCTTCTTCTTTTGTTCCTCAGCCAACTTCTTTTGCTCCGCTTCTGTCTTTTCCTTGTTTTCAGGAGTAACTTCCTATAAGATGTTATCGTATGAAACGTCTTTCTTTTTCAGTCAAAAAAAAAATCCTATGAGAAGAAGAGATCAGTGTCAAAAAGACGCTCACCTCTTCTTTTTTCTCCGGCTCTTCTTCGTCACCGGCAACATCCGTCATTTCTATGTCACCGGTTGGAGCCGCTCCTTCTCCTTCGTCTTTCTCTTTTTCTTGTTCTAAAGCCTCTTGCAGCCTTTTGCAGAGCAAAGACTTCACACCTTTGGTTTCTAATCCTCTGGCTTCAAGTTCAGCTCGTAACTCTGGCACCTGTAAAGCTTCTTTATCCGACATTAAAGTCAAACGAACAGAGGTAATTAGTAAAATATATTAAAGCTGGATTGGAACAGGAAATCGTGCAAAAGCATGCGCAATTTTTAGCGATGCTGCCGACCCACCTTCAACATTTTCGGATCCAATTTGCTCCAGTGCGTTGGCACTTCTTTCGACTCAACATCTTCAGCTTCTTCACCTTCTTTTACGGAAGTTTCTCCAGTTGTCGATGTTGCCTCTTTAGTAGGCGTAGCTGTTGCATCCTCCTAAATATGTAAACATTGCACAGCTATAAAGAAACTACCACGTGCTGATGTCCCAGATAAGAATATGAGTTCCGTTTAAGATGGAAAGAAACAGTGCTCACCTGTCGCACAATAATCAAAGATTAAAAAAATGTAAGAACAGGGCCATTAATGAATGAAAAAGAGGGACCTGTTAGAAAAAGCATGCTTGTTAAGATGAGAAGTGAGACGTTAAAATTTGGAACTCCCTGTTCCATTATTTTTGAAAAATCAAAGCAGTGTTGGAAGGAATAAACAGGACGAACACACAGACGCACACACGCACACTACACACAACAGTTATCTATAGTGAAAGAGTGCCTGCGCGTAGTACGCTCGCGACTTTCCTTGTCCTTGGCGGAATTGTCGTCCGCCTGGGGTTGATCCTGGACTTCTGGAGGTGCATCAACAGCGGCCAGCTTGCGGTCGAGTTGCGCACGAAGCGCCGTCTGCACTTGGGTCCAGCGTTCCTCAACCGACGCATCGTCGGCAGCAAGAAGCAGTTGAGTGTCCGGCAAGAGAAGACGCACGCTATCCGTGCGTTCACGATCCGCGCGGTAATAACGCACGTGCACCAGCTCGTACCTGTGTAGGAAATAGAACGAGTCAGCCTGAATGTCAGCCCACAGAGACATACCTACCCGCAGTCGCATACTCACTTAGCCGAAGCTAATCAGAGCACAAACTGCGGTGAATAAGTGTGAATAAGGAGAAGACCTGCGTTCTCGTATCTGGCCAAGTGTAATGACGCCGAAACACAGAAAAACTGAGGGCCGCGTGCCTCATCAAGTATAGGCAAAAGTGGTGAGAATGGTCGTCTCGAAACGGGCATATGGCGCAGCAAACAAACAGAACGGAACGTTATGAGCGGAGGGTCCCGGGATACCATAGTCGCCCCACAAAATCAAAGATACCTACCATTGGGGACAGTTGGAGAGGTCCACGCCAGTCAACGCCTTCGTCGTTCTTATGGCAGTTTGAATAATAGTAGCCGGGTTTGTGGGATCAGCTCCATCAGCACTTGGCGACCAGCTGCCTCCGATTGCTAATGGTTCCTTACCACGAGTACCTGCAACAATGCGATCATCTAGTTAAATACCTTTTTGCTTCCATAAGAGGAATAAAGAGAAAGGATAAGAAAATGACTTGAAAGAGTGCGAGTTCTCGGTTACACTAGCGCAGCTGAACTGCACAAAAAAGGAGAAACGCTTACCAACAAGGAAGCTCAGCTGTTTGAAGAATGGTGTAGGCTCGTGAGTGTCGTCAGTCGATCCATCGGGAAGTAAACCAAACGCCTTCTTGTGCACCTCTTCCTTTCCAGCATGAGCGAGCAGAAGAACCTCAAAGTATATGGATAAAATTATTAGCCGATATTTTCAGTGGATGTGCTTGCTCACCTTGACTTGATGACGATGATCGGCGTCCTCAGGCTCTAGCACGGCCTCAACTTCACCTTGTTGCAGGGGATAATCCACTTCTTTGTTGAAGACGTGGAATGACACCTAAACGGCGTTGTTTTCACCATTGTTCCTGAGCATACTCTCCATCACTTACTGGATTTGTCAGATCAATGGAAGCGTCCAATGGAACTCGTTTCACCCATTCAGCTGTCATGTCGGCGAAATCAGAGGGAATGTAGAGCTTGAGGTAGCGACTTCTCAAACCGACAACCGAAACTTGCTCACTAGAATGGCATTTCTACCGCGAGAATATAGAAAAAAACACGAATGCAACGTACTTGAGAAGCACAGGCCGAGGAGGATGACACTCATATCGAGGAATGATTCTAGCTCGTCGTCGAGGCGGGCTAGCACTATCGCGTCTAGTGGATTGCGCAGAACTCGGTGGGTTGGCACTTCGCTCCCGTTTGCGGTCACGATCGCTTCGCTCCGATCGAGATGGAGGAGAGCGCCGTGGTGGCGATCTACGGGGTGGTGGAGATCTGCATGAAGAATGCTCAGTTTTTTATTACTACAGTAAAAGTGAGAAAACATACTTCCTACGAGGTGGTTCCTTGCGCAACGGACTGGACCTGCGAGGTGGACTGCGGCGAGGTGGTGAACGCCGACGAGGCGGTGATGCCCTGTGAGCAGGCCCATTACGGTCAGCAGATGTTGGCGGACCCCACCTGAAAATGCGTGCATAATACTCGGACCATTAACTGCTGCTTTTTAATCACATTCGATATATAACATGCCTTACCTCCCACCACCCGGACCACCTGTTCCAGCATTACGCGTAGGATGGTTGTGATTTTGAGGTGCTGGTGGGCCACTATCGCCTGAGTTTAGAAGTTGAATACGATAAGCATTCCACTTGAACGGCATCTGAGGATTGTAGCTTGCCTCTACCATAACCTTCTCACCAACTCGGGGCAGTGTACCACGAATAACTCTGAAGATATCTTCGTAATAAATGATTAGCCATCCCGAAAAAAGATGTGATATATGACAAGGCGAAAATCTAGAGACGCAATAAATCAATAAACTGACGAATGCTGGAAGAACACATCATCATCGACGAAACCATAATTGTCATGCATTTTGGTGACAACGCCAACAAAGGTGCGTTGATTCTTGCCGGCTACTGCGGGGTTCGGGGCCTAATGCACTTCATTTATAGACATCCACATATTATAAAAGTTTCCGCGTACCTGTGCTGCTGGAGCTCGAACAGATGCCGATGATGGAACTGCACCCATCACTCCCATACCCATAACATTCTGCTGAGCAAAGGCGGCTTGATTCACCATTCCCATGGGAACACCCATGCCTTGAACTCCCATCATGGGAAAAGCTCCTACTCCCATACCAAATCCAGCCATTTGATTTCCAGCCACTGAAATGTTTCATGAAATTTTCCAAATTTTGTAATAAATTAGTAATAAGAATGGAATTAGGTTGGCAGCAGTGAGGTTGGCAAACTCAGCAGTAAGTAACTGCACACTTTCGTTTGGCAAACATTTTTTGTGCGTCCTGGGCTGCTGTTTGCACAAAGTCAGATTACTCTAGCTGTCGCAACCTTTCGCTGAAGAGAGAACACGTTGTGCAACTAGCACTCTCTACTCAAAAGCAAAAATTTGTCCCCCCCCCCTTCCTGAGTTTTGCAAGGTTTGGTGTACTAAACCTAGGTGGGCTTCAGAAAGCACAGAATCTCAATCACGCATACTACATCTCGGATATGATAGGTAATTTGGCTGTACAATATTCATGACCCATTCCTCGTAGTTTCAGGGTGAATCGGAAGTGGAGGTTGAAGGGATCATCTTGCTTGCATGTGTGTTACCCTTGAGAGACTCTTCTTATAAACAGAGTATACCTTGCGGAAATCAGAAACTTCGTTATGTTGTGACACTACCTGGGCGAAACGAGCGTATGAAAAGCAAATATCATACCACGCCTGTCATGAGACCAAAATCAACAATCCCAGACGTACTTCCACTTCAAAGGCTGTGCAACACGCATACCACAACTTCTCATTGAATTAGTTCACTCAAATCCATTTATGAGTTTCAATGCACTGATATTTGCATAGCAACAGTGCCACAATGTGATGTTTAAAGGCAGTACCTCGGCAGAATGAGACCCGTGACAAAACAAGGTCACAGGGTAGGAGCCCCCATATGGAACCTATCGGCCAAAGTCCGATCTTTCTCTGCCACTTCTAACCCCCGAAATTTTAACGCGGAAGCAGCGCTCGTCTCCTGTCCTCTCCGAACCCGCCCACCCCATGGACGAGTGAACGCGAAGCCCGTCATGGCAAAGACGCAGAGTCGTTGCGGGACCTCATGCTTATAGCATTGCGGCTGGCGCTCTGACCGCGGAAGCAGCTCGTCCATGGGGTGGGCGGGTTCGGAGAGGACAGGAGATGAGCGCTGCTTTCGCTTTGAAATTTCGGGGGTTAGAAGTGGCAGAGAAAGATCGGACTTTGGCCGATAGGTTCCATATGGGGGCTCCTACCCTGTGACCTTGTTTTGTGACGGGTCTCATTCTGCCGATGTACTGCCTTTAAGAGCTGTCATCATCAAATACGCTAATCAAAAAATTGCCAAAGTTTACTAAAACTTGCAAGCTCCGCATTGCAACGTTTTAGTAAACTGTGTCCGTTATATCCGTTGTCTACACAGCCCATTCGCAAATGGACTGTATCCGGCAACACACAGCATTGGACCTTATCAAGTAGATTTGATAACGACTAACGATATATCGCCGACAGGCTCCACTCCACCCGAACAGCTAGTATAAATCTTGTAGTATGTGTGTTTGTGTAGTCTGTCCCGAATGTCTGGGTGGCATCACCCTTTTCGACAACATATGGTCCTCTATCATTGTAATGAAGACAGAGATAGCACAATTCGTCGAACATAACATCCGATTAAATGCAGACTCAGCCGAGTTTTAGTCAGCCTACATTTCAAGAATTGCAAAATTGAAACCTCATATGTTACACAGCGAGGTTATTTTGTCCCCAGCGTCTTCAGATATCTTATCTTTGCCACATGTGCTGCTGATGAGTGAATTGCACATATAACAAGCAGCACTTCATATACATATTTTTTATGGATGGATGCACAGGCTGCGTGGATTTCGCATTCACATGTGCAAAAGCAACATGGAACGCAAATCCAAGAAAACTAGTGACGCACTTGAATAGACAAATTCTGTCCCAAGAACCTTCCCAAATATGCATACCCCCACGCAGTTTATTTGCTGCCTTTGACACGTTATCATAGGAGCGCCTAAGTTGGATACTTTGTAAAAGATCGCCGCTCTGCATGTCTTTTGTGCCGAGGCAGCTCAAAGGCGCGAGAGGCAAGTGAAGTGGCGACATTATGGGAATTCATTGTAGCAATGACTATAGACAATTTGGTTTATCTTATCAGATAAAACTGAGCTGTTATACGAAATTACAGGAAGCAGCAAGCTCATGACATTTAAGAGTCGCCATATTCTCAATTTCACAATATGTGAAGTCAACGGGGCCCAATGTGGTTATGATTCGTAAAATCGAGCCTTCTCTGAGAAAACTTGAGCAGATCTAGACTATGACAAAATAAGAAAAAGCTAGAAGGAATACATCATTTGCGAGATTAAGATGGGAACTTTCTAGGATGTTTGCATAGATGCAAAGGGCAAATGTGTTGAAAAGAAAACTACACTGGGCCACCCTTGAATGAGGACAAGGACAATGTCGATCGACAACATCAGATACACTAAATGGATTCCCTTGTGAATAGTGCAAATGATGTTGCACGATAGAAATACAGGAGGTGACGAGAGTTAACGCTTTTTCGAATGATGCTATCGCCAGCTCGAGAGCTGCACGTACATGGCACCAAAAACTAAATGCGAACTGCAAGCTTGTGAAACATGGACGTTTGAGTTAAAAGTTAGCATTATGGTTTTTTTATGGTAAGAAGATATGCACTTTCAACATGAAACACACCATAAGTGTTGTTGGACGCCAGTGAATGAATGAGAATAACCATTAACCCAGCAACAGACAAATTTCCGCCTGAGTACAGAGAAAAGGAGCATTGCTTGAAAGTTCACCTGAGTTGACAGGTAAGCAAAAACTGACAGCTTGAAAACGATACCTGACATCTATGACTAAGGGAAAAGAAAGGAGAGAGAACTGACGGCTGCGACTGGTTTGAAACAAAAAATAGTGTCAACAAGTTAGAGCCACGTCAGTTGCGCCTCATACTAGCCTTTGAATTTAAAAAATATGGTTTAGACTTCACCGGTCATATCTCACATGGTTACAGATGCATTTTTTTTCCAAAAGTTATGCGCCAATGCTTTATCTGTGTTAGTCAGGAGCTTTCTCAGAAATGGAGCAAATTAACAGCATTTTTGATGATTCAATTTGCAATGACAAAAATTTTGTGCGAACTGGCATTGTAATGCCAAGCTTGCCGAGTTCATAAAAGCTATGAGCGATCTCGCTAGTATGAAAGTTAGAGGGCACATAACCTACTGTCTTAAAAAAAACCATTCGGCGACATCCTCAAACCCGCTCCTCTAAGAATATGATCAGAGAGTGTTGTAGAAACTAGCTATTGCAATGACCATGTCAAGGTCCTATAAAAATGAGGTTCGCTCTACATTTCAGCCGACCGAGTTCACTTCAGAGTGATGACTTTTCAGGCTTTGCAAGCGCCGGCGTGGCTTCACTGCCTTTTCAGATAACTAAAGCAATTAACTTCAAGCCCATTGAGCTAATGTGCCTTTTTTTGTCTCAATGAGAAGCTATTAGAACAGCATCAACTTGCGAACGCCTTCGAAATTGATGTCATTTTTTGCAATGCCACCCCAGTTCAGGAAAATACGACAGTACTGGGGCCCGCACATCACGTGAGGACGGGCCATCTTAGTATCCAAATGATAAAGTTTTTGAAAATTCAAGTTACCTGTAAAAAAATCTTTTTAGGTTGCAGTCTCTTTTCTAAGAACCGCTTGACTGACCAAAGCAACCACCGATATGCTAATGTAATGATTATTATTTGTGGAAAGATATAATGCGGCAGTCAGCCACGGTGCTGGTACGCTGCCATTGGTGCCAGCCGATTATTGCTTTCGGATGTTTATAAAAACAAAGTGCGTTGTTTGGTCGAAAGCATTAGTCTTCCAGTATCCATCTAATATGAGGCCTGATACGATTCAATACATGTACACTGACAGAAAAAGACCTCTGGTTCACCCAATGAAGTGAATCTAATGTCTGAAATCTAGGTTGCAAGGAGCAACTTCTCACAAAGTCTTGAACAAAACCAAGGAAATAACACAGCTAATCCAGACTGAGAAGATCAAGCTGGAACGAGTTCGCTACAAAGTTCGTATGTGAAATATGATGCGCATTGCGCATTCCATCGCAGAGTATCTCGCTATCTCGCAGTTTACGCTTCTCAGCTGAAGATGCACGCTGAGTTTACTTTCTTGAAAAAACACGAAAGCATTTGATAATGATAAAGGTTTAATCTCTTGATTTTACGCTTTGTTCCCTTGTTAACAGAATAGAAAAATCATATGCTCAGACGATGTTCAATGTTAAAAGTAGATGAACGTGTGCCAAGAAAAGGCGATTCTTTCGACAATCTTCAGCAATCTTAGCTCTACACTCTCAGCATACCTAGTCGGGACTATGGTGCTTGAAAATGGCTATCGGACGCAATGAACTGTGCAAAAACATAAGACGCAGTAAAACACCGCTCGAACCGCCTTCAGTGCACTCGACTTATCCAGCCGGAATATTTCTTGGTCGATATTATTAAAATGGCCTCAGATATTGCTACTGAGGGAATGTACCCCCCTTTTATCATGGAAAATACCCGATAACCGGAGCACTAGCTGCCGGAACCTTCAGTTCTACCACTGATTTACTAAAGAAAAATCGGAGGTGGTTGCAGCGTCAAAATGCGCGCACTAGGAAGAGAATGCCAAATTCATGGCAAGTATAAACCATAAAAATAGTCCACTACCTAAAGCCCCAAAGCATATCTTCATTCAAGCGCTAGTCTCAACGTAAGACTATTCAAAACGATTCCCATTTCGGAATACGATTATTTTCTAAATTGCTAAATGAAACAACGAACTCACCACCAGTCCCAGGACGCGTCCAGCCTCCCGGCTTACCGGCGCCAAATTGAGACATTAGTGCACCGTCAAGCTAAAACATACATATCAAATGACAGTGTAAACAATGAAAGACTGGACTAGCACGACGATTGAGTGAGGAAAAGCAATGGAGCAGATGCGACAAAAATGATGCAAACAGCCGAATGAAATAAATCAGCACTATATGTTAACGATCGATAATGTAATATCTGCCACGACAAACTATAATCCAACAAGATTATTATAGCAGTGAGCTGAGCGTCCAGGCAACCGCGGGTCGATATTTGCGAACGGTAGCGCGCCGCGGCGGCTCGCGCGCGTGAAAGAATAATTCGTCCTTTCGCACTTCAACTGAGCGCGTTATAACGAGTTGGTAGAATTTGTTAACGTTTGCTGTAGTAATTTGTCTTTGGTGAATGAGATAAAGGAAGAATACCAAAGGCTAGTCATAGACTGGACGAAGAAAATCTGCTATGGAATCAACTCTAACTCTGGTCAAATTCAGCATCAAGCAGTGGTATCAACGCAGAGTACTGATGCACGCTAAACAAACTTGAGTTGCACACCACATTTTCGAGCGAGTCACTTACATTCTAAGGTAGAACAAATTTCGGCTTCTCAGATGTCCTACGTATAATGTTACCTTTCCACTTTAATGAATTGTTGATAAGTTGCTGTCTTTGCTGAGAAGAAAACCACACCGATACCAAGATGTAGAAGCGAGGCATACACTATATGCAATGTTAGTATAAGTTTTATTTGGACAGCAAAGAAGAAAAAACAACCGCGCCGAACATTTCAATAGCACAGTGCGAATGATTGCCAGTGCTGCGATGCTCTCGAATCCAACGTGGAATGACTACGTTTTAGATGTTATCAACAACAGATGGTTGGTGAGATGTGTTCAATAGATTTGTAAAAAAATTCTGTCAGAAATTTTATGGCCACTTCCTTGCGAAGATACTGCCCATAAAACAATACACAGCCGATAGGCAGCAGAATCAGCATTAATAGTTTGTCGAGCTAGACTGATGAAAAATTGAAATGTACTCTATAAGATCACAAAACTCTTTTGCTCAGCAACGTTTGCGAAAAAGCGGACCATATGCGGTGCAGGAGGAACCAAAGGACTGTCGCATATAACTGCAGGAGATAATTGAGGGGCGAGCACTATAGAGAAGATTTTGGCAAATACCCAGGGAAACTTGGCAAGGACATCCGTTGGAAACAAACCTGTATATCTGCTTGGAATTAAGTGAGAAAAATGATATGAAATCAGCACTGAATGGCACGTGGCAATGTGCACGCCTATGCCATAGCTAGCTCAGTCTTCACAAAATTTATCAGAGATGAACTAAAGCCTTTCAAAATCTCGACATAGTGAGGAATTTCAGATTTAGTAGTAAAGGATTCTGAGTAAATTTTTCAGTAAGGATTTCGGGACTTTGTTTGAAATTAGGAAGGTATAATCAGAGACTAAAGTTTCAGCCTCAATTAAATCGTGATGAACTTTTGTTTATACAATTTCGAAAGTTTCACCGACACAGTTTCCTTGTTCAAGCGTATGAAATTTCGTGAAGTTGCCATCCGGAACTAAAATAAGTCTGAATATGCCTGTCTCGCTATGGCTATGAATTGTATATTGCATCTTTGCGCATCGCCTTTGAAATTTATTCTATGACATTTCAATCGCAGTCTGTTTGATTGATTCAAAAGGCAAAAGGAAGCTATTTTTTTGTTTTATGTCAAGTCCAAGAGGTGCACTCTCTTGACTTGAATCCTTCACCCTGATTGTCTTACTTTATATGAACATGACATTATGACTAGAATCTTTATTATATATTTATAAGTAGAATGAGAGGGGAAGGGAAACCGCCGGTCACCCGGTTAGGCACAGCTCATCTGGAGTTGCTGGGCACCGCCCAGTTGGCGTGGCTACTGTCGGACCATCTAATTAGTCTGCGTCTCGACATGTCCATTCCATAGTAAAGCTCGTCCCGAGCTTTCATCATTTATTTGTCGTAGAGGGCAGGAGATTATGCTGTGGTTGCCATCATTGTCTTCAATACTGCCCATATACCATTTGTCGTGGGTGCTGCGATAAGTGCAGGAAGATGCTGTTGTTATCGTTGTCGTCACCATGGTTGCCCATTTGCCATCTGTTGCTGCTGCTTTGCTTGAGGGCAGCATTGTGTTGTTGTTGTTGTTGTTGATCGCTTCGTGGTTCAGTCGTTCGATTGCTCTTCAGAAGTGGACAAGGGGAAAAGACTGGTAGGAAAGGAGCGGCTTTCGCACGCCCTGTCAAAAAAAAGAGCTCGTCTCGAGCTGAAGAATAAGCGGAGCAATTAAGCTTGGAAGTTGGATATTCATCAAACTGGTGTGCGGATAAGTTTCCGCTGTTCGGAGAGGCGGATGGAAGTGATGATGATATCAGTACAGCGTGGATGGGTGGGCTTTATCCGAGCTGAAGGGATGGGTATGGCAATGCTTGGGATAAAAATAAAACATGGTACGAGCGGCATTTAAAAGTCGAATTGGGAAATGTTCAAAATTTTGATATGACGATGGGGTTGTCGTGAATATTGAAGAAATACATATACATAAAAATGCAGACAACAATAATGCAAATCAAAATCGCTATTGTGACAGAACGTTCAAAATTTTTTCACTTTTTGAAGATTCCTTCTTACAGTATTCAGAAAAAAAATCAAGCACAACAAAAACATGAAATTTTCGGAATCTATCATGTGGGCAACTCATGAGGGAACACTTCCCTAATGTTGCCCACAAGGGCATGGGGTGGAATTTTGAATGACTGAAAGGCTTCTCCGAGTTGCCCATCGGAGAAGTCTTTCTTGGTATAGTGCGAAGCTTGCGGCACACTTACTCTTTACCAGTAGCCGCTGCAACAGTGAGATTAGTGAGGAATTATTAGGTTTGCTACTGGTAATGGTAGTTTCTGTATTTCTCAGATGCTCTGAACATCTGAGTGTGGATTAAAACACGAATTCGAAAAAAAAACCGTATGAAGTACAATGAACTGATAAACTGAACTAATACAATATGAACACTCTTGATATGGAGGCATATGTTAACAAGATGAAAGAAAATTCCTATGGAACAGCTATTTCGAGAGAAATCAAGTCGGAAACCAAAAAACTACAGTATCTGTACAATTTCTTCTTAGCGTCCCATTCTGTTTCTTAGCCTCGCTTCCGCGTATCTAAAACTGTCTCGAGCGCACCAATTGCGTCAGATGAGACTCATACAGGCTTTATATCGCACAGTTCGTTTTACGAGGAGAAATTGATTTGAGAATAAGTATTCATCATAGTGGAAATCTCCGGCTGAACTTAGTTGAATTCAAATATCTCTCAAATGTCCCGTGAAAAAGTTTTTTTTTTGTGCGGTAATGATGAGCGATGGTTGAAACTGATCTGTGCAAAGTTGACGAGAAATGTGAAGTGAATGGATATGTAATCCAACTAAGTTAAAAAGGCTTGGGCTGGTGGCCAAAGGTATAAACTAGTTTTTTTTTACTAGAGTAATAGCTTATGCTGACTGAATTGGTATATTTTGAGAAAGTCAATATCAGAATGATGCATTTACAAAAAGTAAAAGGCCACATAGCACTAGATCTGGAGAGAGCTGCAGAGACAAAGAGAAAAGCGTAATTTTTTTTCAAGATGCTAACCTGTTTGCAGAACAGACTTATTAGCTTCAGTATTCTAAAGTCCTTTCGACCTAAGTAGTGACACTAGCTATGTTTTTCTTGCAATCTTATTTTTTAGCCCTTGTTGCATCGAGCAAATTATCTCGCATGTCATTTAGGTATTAGAGACAGGCTTTTGCGAACCTAAAATTGTAGATTGCCGTACCTTTACTTCTACTAAGTGATCACTTCATTTTTTTTTTGATTTTGGGATGTAGAACCTACCCAAAAGGATGTTGAGAGTTCATTCTAAAAAAAACAGGATTCTCATCTAAATGTGGACGTTATTGCACAAGTTGAGCGTAAATACAGTCTAGGTTTGAAGGAAAATCAAAGAATCTGAAATGCTTTTTATTAATGAATTTGATATCGAGCGATTGAATATGCCACTGCTAAAACTAAATGTTTATGCAATGAGAGCGGCCTGATTCAGCAGGGATATCCTGCTACTATTACTTTTGCTTAAGATGTACTTATTTGAACTGTTGGGCCCGAAAAATCTCAAAAAGTTGATTGTGCTGTATCAAGGAATGAAGTGTTGAAATTCACAGTTGCTTCTAATCCATCATTAGATTTGCCGAACTCAATTTAAAATCGTGCTGAGATGACTAAAATATAAAAGATTTGAGGTTTTTTTTGATACGAGTTCAATCTGGTTGTGGGAAATCACAATTTATTTCATTGGCTATTTCAGCTTCCGCTTTTACTTTAGTAGGAGTGGGGTTTTTTTTTTCCAACATGAATCTAGAATCACTAAAGCGTTAAATTTGTTCTAGTTTCAAGAATGAAACGCTAGAAATGATATTTTATTGATTGTTCTGTTCCACTGGATCCTAATTTTTTTTTTATAAATCGCACTGGCTTTATCAGCACACTGAAGCGTTGGAACTAAAGGTCTGATCTACATTAGAAATGCATTTTCAACTTTTAGATAGCAGAGAGACGCAATTTTCTCAAGCTGCTTCTTATTCAGCGCATCGTAAAAAAAATTTTTTTTTGAACTTTGCTTTTTTTTGAAGGTTAATGTTGCCAAACTTACTGTTAATTTTTTTTCGATGATGCACTGGATGGCAAAAATTAGCCTTGCTGATTTTTTTTCTCAACTTTTCGCTATTAGAAATCGAAAATTGGTTTTGATGAAAAGTGTGGGGCAGAAACAAGCTGAGACACCAGATTAATTCAATGAATAGCAGTCTCTCTTGTGGTGGTCTGTCAGAGACTAGCGGCAAAAGTTTGGAGTATAACTAAGTACGGCATAAGTAGATTATGCATAGTCCTGCACATTTGGCAAATCAACAGTCTTGGAAATGAGGAATGCTTAGTCAAATTTATACAAATTAGAAAAGT